GCAACAACTACACATACTTATAACTACCGCCGCAAAAGCGAGAGCAACAGCAACAACAACAACAACAACTACAACTGTAGCAATATGTAACAAGTCGGGTGGCAACAACTATAGCAACAACAACAAGTATAACAACGAAAACGAGGGCTTGCTGTCAACTACATACTTTTGTTTCTGTCTCTTGGGTTGGTAATTTTAATGTCGGTTTTTTGGGTTTTATTTTCTGGTTTCTCAGCTATGCGAAACTATGCCAAAGTTAACGACAGATTACAATAATCACAAGTATACAGGTGCGGTCAAGAAGTTATCTCTAATATTCTGCTTTATTCTATTTCGTAATGTTTAAGTCAGGCTTTTAATTTTCAAATATATTATTAAAAAGATGTAGTCCTTTCTTAAGTTATATTGAAAACCAAAATATAACAATATTTATAAACGTCAAACTATGAATCACTCTTTTTTAAGGGCTTTCTTTAATTACTCATAACGATTCTGATTCTGTTCCATTGCGGAACTACATCTGAAACATATGCAAATTCAAAATAATGAATCACCCAAACCATTTTTATTTTTAAGTTACTGAAAACAAAAATCATCAAAAAGTTATTCTATGTTATACATAAGTAGATCTTATCTAAATAAATAAATTGGAACAAATTTTCCAATAATTTTCGATATATTCTCACTGATTAGACAACATTTGAATGATCCGTTCTAAAACTCTGACCGCCACTGTGAAAACAAACACACAAACAGTGGGCGCTGGCAATGTCGTTGGCAACAATTATGCACCTTGTTGGCAATGCTGAGCTTAAAGCTGTCGCTTTGGCTTAGCGAGCGACTAATTGGCTAATTAGACAACAGTGAAGCGCAAAAAGAACCGATTGGAGCGATAATTTCGATTACATTTGCTAATACGATAAAAGAACAGGAACGCCACAAATATGCTGAAATACGCGTGTTTTGGCATGGAAATGACACAAATAGATTCGCGTGTTGTTTTCTGTTTACACACCCAGAAAACATAATTGTTACCATAAACCTATTTTCGGTGACAATCGAAGCACAAATTTGGTTTTGCTGTGGGCCGCAAGCGGAACCCGATAACAATTACAAAACTATTGAACCAATTAAGTTAAGGCTATTAAAACAACAATAACAACTCTGTTTTTTGCGGCTGAAACGAAACAACAACAGCAAGAGCGTCGAGAGAGCCAAAGAGAAACAGAAACGGAAACCACAATGGCGACCGATGGCCAGCGAAAAACACTACGAAACGAAACGAGACAAAAACGAAACGAAACATTTGCTATATGACCATTTATGTTTCGGCATTTTCGCTGCGTAAACATTTCCATATGCAAATATTAATGACCTTCACTTTCACCTCCCGTGCTAAATAGCATTGAAATGCAGAAGGGACTACCGGAAAGTATGATGATCAAGGTAAAAAATATACAATTTTCAAAAATCAGTAAGTGTGTTTAGAAAGATATTTACAAATCTCCGTATCAGAACGATCAAAAATATATTTCAAATAATACTGTCAGTATTCTAAAAATATGTATTTCTAACGAAAGAATTTAAATAAAAACATCATTCCACCGATAGCTCATTTTCTGAAAGTCTGACAACCCTAATATAGACTCATTTGAACACTCCCACACACAAAACGAAATTATCGATAAATGTGATCAGTTCAACAGTTGATAAGCTTCGATTAATTTTCACATTCCCATACAAGTACATTGAATGTTTTAAAAATAAATTAACTCGTACACAATCTGGTGCATGTGTATTTGTTTGCGGTGGCGGTGACTTCCAAAACAACAAATATCAATTGCTGCCTGATTTTCATCAGTGTGCGGGAGCGATGTGCTTGCATGTGTGTACGAATAATCTGAAACAAATAGCACTAGCAACAACTGAAGCGCGGCCTTCTCTCCGAGCGACAACAAGACAATTACTGTAAATAGGTAAAATAACAAGACAACCAGCAGTTGCACAAATATTAAAAAGCACACAGACAACCGCGTATGAAGCCAAAGGTATTACGGTAATCAATGTCAAATGCTGCCGATTTCGTGTGTGTGTTTGTGTACTCCAACCGAAAACAACAAAAACAACACCTTTGGAAGAGCGACACACACGCTCCCATCAAAAGGCAAAAGAGAGAGAGAGAAAGATAGAGGGAGACAGAGCGCAAGATACGCGTCAAATGTCAAAATCGAAAAAGAACAACAAAAACCACAATCGACCTAGTGTTGTTCTATTTGAGAGAGCGATTTTCGAACGAAATGAACGTATTGAAAGCTAAAATAATATTTACTTTTCCTATTTGTGTTTCATAGTTTTGTGGATTTTAAGCGCAAGTAAACTTTTCGAAATGCCATCGCACATGCATATATACATATGTATATATACATATATACATGGCGGATATAAAAAAGCACCACTTGTTGTTGGCTTTATTGAATGCAGTGCGTGCGAGCGGGATGGCATGTTGTAGTTCGCCAAAGCAAGGTAAGATCGCCACCAATACATCGGCAAATGCAGCTCACACACACATAATATACTTTCACTTCTTGTATTGAATTTTTGATTTTATTTGTGCTGGCGCCACGTTGTTGTTGTTAGATATGGGTTTTTTAGCCAGATTTATGCAGTCGGCAACAGCGAAGCTTTTGATAGGAAAATGAAATTCGAAGGGGCTTTTCAGAAGTCAAAAGGGAAAACAAGAATTTTCAGTTCATCGAAAAAAAAAAATCGTTTCAAAAAGATACATTTCCTAATTAGTTAGTCCTAGTTAAATTGTAAACTCCATCTGGGGTATTCCATTTGGTATTTATTACACACCCAATTGAATGTACAAATTTATTGATTTCAAATTAAATTTCTCACTGTGTACGTAGGCAAAGTACATACATACGTCACTGCGGATACCTTCCTCTCCCTCTCACACCCTTTTATTATTGCATTACTGCATAAATAGTGGCACCATACATACTCCCCTCTCTCTTTAGCCTTTTGCAATTTATGCAATGTCGCATTACTTGGCATTGTTTACTTGGAAATTAGTGGGCAGTGTTAAAATAACCACTTTCATCAACCGCTTAACACAATGTAAATGATAGAAAATTGCTGGCACAACCGGCAAATGGTGAAACCAAAGAGAAATGGACAAGAACAGACGTATGCTGACGTCACAAATGTAAGAGGGGACATAGAGAGCGAGTTTAGCATCCTACCAATATATATCGAAGGATAACGGCATCGGGGGCACAAATCCAATTAGAATGAGCAGGGGGGAGGGAGGCAAGTGTTAAAATTAGACACTGAAAGTTGCTCCCACGCTCATTCTCTAGGATAACTTACACACGCACGCACGCCATATACATATACATACACACGCCCACAGTGCAACAGCGTCGAACGGAAAAAGAGAGGCGAAAATGGGGGCAGGGACAGAAGAGAGAAGAGCCGTGTAGACAGAAGAGGAACAGCTGCGAACGAATTAACATAAATTGTATGCGAAAATGGGGTGGATAATTCTGTTTTTTGTTACACGGTGGCGGCATATTGTTTATCGGTTTTCGTACAAACTACTACATTCCAGCAATTTCCTTGCAAGAGACAGGCACCCCTCCACTTCCACATCCACTGTCACCCCCTCGTTTCCACTACTCTTCTGCTGCTTCTTCTTCGTCTTACTTGTGTGTTGGCATATTTTGGTTAACTCGTTAAAAAGGCTATTCCTTGGTTAATTTGCAGGCACTTAGTATGATTGTATTCTGGTTACGATTATATTTTTTTGTTTTTTCTTAAATTAATTAAGACGCGTCGGGGTTTTGGGGTTTTTTTTCGTTGGAGCGACAGAGACGGGGCGACGGCGACGATTTGCTAGAGCGCGCGTGCATAACACGCACACATACAGAGACGCATCTACGCGAGAGAGTGGAGAAATCAATCAAGAGAGCACGTTGGCGAAGGGGGGAGTGGAAAAAAATCACATATGTATGTGCGTCAGTGGAAGTGCGACAAGATTTTCCACAATATTCCACGCATCTTTGTTTCGTTTCTTTACATATGCACATTATTGCTTCGTTTTCTTTTCGCTTTGCTTTCTTACACAATATACATGTGTATAGTTGTGGTAATTTCAGGTTTTTAATTTTTGCACACACTTTTCTTTTTTTTTTGTGGTTGGATATATTACGCACTGGATTTCTGGATTTACACTGGCAATCGATTGGCGGTGGCGAGTAATGCACGTATTCCCCTTAATTAACAGTTTTCGCTACAATTAATAGTGTAATCTGTTTAACAAAAACTCAAATCACGTCATGGCTGCCACGTCCAAGCAACAATGAATGTAAATGGTGGCAGACAAGGCTGGCGGAGGATTGTCGCCGGGCCCCGAAAGGGGCACACTGTTTTAGGGGTCATACGGCCACTCTGTCACCCGGCAAACGGTCACACCGCACATAAGGTCACACCAGTGGGCGAACAATAAGCAAATTCATATATTCTAATTACAGTTTGTCGATACACAGGTAAGCATACCTATCTTATTTACTATAAATCTTAAATTGTAGCTTAATTCTATACGATTTGCAGCGTTTCCCGCTCTTATTTGCCAACCAAAACAACCGTGTAAAACAGATGTTTTGCTGTGGGAGCGGGACGGCTATATGACCTGCATTCGCGAATCAAGAGAACACAAAAATGCAATAATAAATATGTGTGGAATGGAGGAGGCGCAAAAGGCCCGAAAAAACGCGCCACACATGTAAAAATTTCACCAATAGCTGCAATTGTTAAGGGTTTCAACGGCCTTAACAAGACCATTGGCCGATTGGCATTATCGGCAAACAATAAACAATAGGAGAGGGACGTAGCACGCTGCGCGGCATTGCGGCTCTTGAACATGACCACGGTTCTGGGCCGACAAACCAAATTTTTTCACGCCGACTTTTGGCCGACTAAAACAATGCACTCACCCTGGAAATTATCGTCATTCTCTTCCTCCGATGCCATTGTAGCTGTCGAATGCAACTTTTACGCTATTTAAGCACACGAAATTGGCTTAATTTCCACAACAAATAATTAAGCACACACAGACACGACGAGAAAAAAATAGACAGTTGTAAGCGGCTTCAACAAATATGGCGGAGCGGAGAGCGACAGAGAAAAGTGAGAGAATCAGGGTTGCTAGCCGATAAAACGAGGCGAAAGGGTCACACTAACCACCGAATGACAACCCCGATTTAACAACCCTGTTCTCGTCTCGAAGAGATTTTCTTCACCCGAAAATATACAATTTGTGTGTTTTCTTTTTGCCAAATCGCTGATTTAAACAATCGAGGAATGTGCCAAGCCCTCGGTAAATAACCTTTACTTTTTAGTTCGACCCATTTAATTGCGAATTATGTCGTCCATTATCACGCGCAAGGATGGCGACGTCGACGAGCGTAAATTGTCCAAAAAGCGCGCTGCCGCCTCAGATTCCAGTGGAAATAATGGTGGTGGCGCCATCGAGGCGCCCAAGAAATCCCGCTTCGATGTGCTGGACAAGAATGGCGGTGGCGCCGGCGACCCCAAAGAGGATGCGACTGTGTCCGCCTCGCTGAGCTCCACGCAGATCAAGCTGATGATGGCCCATGCCCAGCGGGAGATCGAGGAGCGCAAGCGGGCGCTGAGCAATCTGCGGGACAAGGATCCCCTCCTGGCTTCCGTGCCCTCGATCGGCATGCCCGTGGCCCTGGCCACCCAGGCGCTGTCCAAGAAACCGACGCCCGAGGACTCCGAGAAGGCCCGTAAGATTGCCGAGCTGCAGGCGCAGATTAGGGCCAAGCTAACCGGCAATTTGGCCAATTTAATTCAACCCACTGCGGTGGCAGCTGCAGCTGCAGCCGCCGCCCAGGCGCAGGAGCGCCCGAAGCCACTGATCCTGGACGAGGAGGGACGCACTGTGGACAAGAGCGGACGAACCATCAACATACCCACGGTGACGCCGACGCTCAAAGCAAACATTCGCGCCAAGAAGCGCGAGGTGTTCCAGCGCACAACGGGGGGCTTGGGTGAGCGCGGTGAGTCGGCCACTTCTGCCCAGGATGAGGCGATCAAGTACTTTGACGACCGCATAGCCTTGAAGCCAACAGTCAGGAATAAGAGGACACTGCGGTTCCATGAACCGGGCAAATTCCAGCAGCTGGCCGAAAGGATGCGCATGAAGAGCCAGCTGGAGCGGCTGCAGAATGAGATTTCGCAGATAGCCCGCAAGACGGGCATCTCGTCGGCCACCAAGCTGGCTTTGATTGCTCCCAAGCAGGATATGCCCGACGATGTGCCGGCCATGGAGTGGTGGGACTCTGTCATACTCACCCAGGATCTGGAGACGCTGGACGAGGCTAGCGGTAAGATAAGCATTCGCCAGACGGCCATAAGCAACCTCATAGAGCACCCCACGCAAATGAAGCCGCCCAGTGAGTAGAGAACCAAAGGTTTTCTCAATAAGAACTAACATCCTTCCCTTTTAGATGAGCCCATGAAGCCCGTGTATCTGCCCGTGTTCCTCACCAAGAAGGAGCGCAAGAAGCTGCGTCGCCAGAACCGTCGGGAGGCCTGGAAGGAGGAACAGGAGAAGATTCGCCTCGGTTTGGTGGCCCCGCCAGAGCCCAAGCTGCGCATATCCAATCTAATGCGTGTCCTTGGCTCCGAGGCCGTCCAGGACCCGACCAAAATGGAACAGCATGTGCGCGAGCAGATGGCCAAGCGGCAGAAGGCGCACGAGGATGCAAACAATGCGCGCAAGCTGACCAGCGAGCAGAAGAGCGAGAAGAAGCAGCGCAAGCTCAAGGAGGACACCAGTTGCGGCGTGCATGTGAGCGTTTATCGGATTCGCGATCTGCAGGACAACCAGAGCAAGAAGTTCAAGGTGGAGACGAATGCCAAGCAGCTGCAGATGACCGGCAGTGTGGTGCTCTTCCGCGATTGCTGTGTGGTCGTCGTGGAGGGTGGGCCCAAGCAGCAGAAAAAGTATCGCCGCCTCATGCTGACGCGCATCAAGTGGGAGGAGGACCTGGCCAAGGGCAACGACGGCCAGGACGTGCCCAACTCGTGCGTGCTCGTCTGGGAGGGAACTAGTCAGCGCCGGCACTTTGGCGAGATCAAGTTTAAGATCTTCCCGATGGAGAAAATGGCCCGCGAGTTCTTTCAAAAGCACCAGGTTGAGCACTACTGGGATCTGGCCTATTCCGGGGCTGTCCTCGAGGCCTCCACGGATCAGCAGTAGACGGGGCGTTGGCTATGCCACAAAAAGCATTTTAGGATTCACTAGGTTATCTACTACCTACTACCGTACTAAAAAATTCACTTTCGAAAAGACTAAAGTCTGAATTGATGTTTTGAAGCGCTACGCACTTGATATGTTAACTTTCTCGGAGCTTTTCGGAACCTTTTGGAAGTGCAAAAATGATGAATAAACGTTTTTCCAGGACTCTACATGTTTGTTGTATCAAGTTCAACCTCTTTACTTTATGTTTTGTATGGGAAACCATTAAAAATGATCTATAAATTCAATCTTTTGTTAAAGATGGTTTATTTCTGACCAATTACTGCCTCTTCCTTTTTGGGAGTGCAAAAATTATGATTAAAAGTTTCTTCAGAACTCTACTTATTTGTTGTATCACTTTCGGTACTTTTTTTTAATTTTTTAACCTCTTTACTTTATGTTATGTATGGCAAACCAGTAAAAATGATCTACAAATTCAATCTTTTGTTAAAGATGGTTTATTTCTGACCAATTACTGCCTCTTAAAGTAAGGATCTTCCTTTTCGGAACCTTTTGGAAGATAAAAAATTATGAATAAAAATTTCTCCAGGACTCTACATGTTTGTTTTGTCACTTTCGGTACTTTTCAAGTATGTTATGCATGGAAAACCAGTCAAAATTATATATAAATTCAATATTTTCTTAAAGATGGTTTATTTCTGACCAATTACTGCCTCTTAACGTAAGGATCTTCCTTGATATTGGACTGTATAAACTCGTCCAGACCTTGCGTCTTCAGCTTATCGATGATTTCCCCCAACCGCTGATCCTCCAGAGCGCTCTCGGCCTTCTCGCGCAGATCCAGTTCGTGCTGCTCCTTGACCCGCTTGGTCAGGACGCCTCTGACCAGTTGTCGCAGCGACTTGTTGATGGCCAGCGTGTAGTCGAGCAGCTTGACGTAGGTGTCGGGACTCAAGTATCCGCACTGCTGGCACTGGGCAATCTGTTCGAAGGTGTCCATGCTGGCGGTGATAATCAGACCGTGCTCCTGGATGGACGATACGTTGTTGCTGTTGCTGCGACGCTTTAGCAGCAGCTGCTCCACCTTGGCGCTGGGATTGAGAAAGACGTGATCCCGATAGATGCAGGCCGTTGAGGCTGTAATCAAGTCGTAGGTGGATATGCCGCACTCCACCAACGCTACGCCGCAGCAATTGATGGCCGTGCTGAGCAGGCAGCCATCGTCGTCCAGAATGAGCACCCGTATGTCCAGCTGGAAGTTGAGGAACTCCGTCCGGCAGACAACCGGCTCCATTGCCTTGGTCAGCATGCTGCCCAGGTGGCGCTCCCGCTCCGGCACCGTCTCCAGATCCCCCGTGGCAAAGGCGGCAAAGTTCACATAGCAATTGAGCACGCCCATGTTCATCCGACGGGCGCTGGCGCGGATTAGCTCCTTTGGCGGGGCCACAATGGCCAGGACCTTGGTGTTTCCGTACTCCATGTACGCGGAGCCCCTCACGGTGGTCAGGACGCCGGCGCGAATGACTGCAAGTAGATATTATCTATTAAACAATTAACATTATTTAGGGATCTCTTCAACAAACAGGTGTTTCTGGGTTCCAGTTTGGTGGGTTCCTTCGCCGGCTTTTCTAGGCTCTCGAAGAAATCCTCGCCGTCCTGCGGCGTTGTGTAGAGCTCCTCCTCAATGGAGGCCCCATCGAGCAGGCTGTTTTTGGTCTGGGTCACCCTTAACATTATATTTGACTGCCCTTTTAAATTGAATCAAAAACAAACTAATCAACAACAAACTAAATTCACATGTGGGCCCAGGAATATGGGCTTACTTATTTTGTTTGAAATACCGGTCTGGTATTTTTGTAAAGTTTTAGTATATTTCAGCATGTAAATCGTTTTAAAATACCATTATGGTTATCGGATTTAAAATTTGTGCGCCAAAACATCCCTTCTTCCTTATTCGCACTTTCAGAGTTTTTATTTGACTTTTAAATGCATTGTGTAGTAGGAATAATAGATAAAAGAGAAATATATAAAAAAATCCAATTTAAATAATGCATAATTTTGCATATTTTATGCAAATATGCAAACAAAATAAAATAAACTATATTTTTTTTGAAACGAACTTTGGTGTTTTCGGAATTAATCTATCTTTTTCCTATAAAAATATGCAGATATGCTAAATCCGAGGTCTAATTATTACCCATATAAACCTACTTAAGTTTGAACATCAAGTGTTCTTGGAAATTAAAGTTCTGCCCTGATTAACTTAAGTCAGATTCATATCCCATGGGCCAATTGATAGGAATGACTCTGCCACCAACCCAGAAGCGAACACTTCGGAATAACCTCTGTCCTGTCGAATTATGTCGCCAAATTTATGAATGCGTGCTGACAGATTATTACATTTAACTGCCGAAACGTGGTTACATGTGATTTAAGAAGGAATTTTTAAAGAATTTTCACGAATTTTAAGTAAAAACCTAATTCTTAGAAAAAAAATAAATAAATTGGCTCATTTATGTCCTTAAATTTTTTTACGACTTAAAAAGAACTATATAATATTGTAAATAAATTAAAGCCAAATAAAAAGTAAAACTAGTTTTTTACTAAATATTATTAAGATGCGCACTACCTACATTTAGATGTTGACCTACATTGGAATGGCAAATTTTTTGACATTTTGAATGAGGGTCATTCCACATTCATTAAATGAGAATTATTTTGAATTTTCTAAGAATTATAAATAACAAAATTTAACTACCACAAATTTAATAATATCAAAATAAATTGGCTTTTAAAGAACTATAAAACTTTTAAACAGTATATATCAAAGCGAAAGGACAAATAAAGGCTAAACTAAAATATAAAAAGTAAGCGATTGTAGTGTGGTATTGGGGGATGTCCGAAATAGAACGGAAAAACACCTTTAGTACATGTAATAACAGGTGATACAAAAAACAAATTAGGTGCTTATATAATAAAGCATTATCTTATCAAAGAAGACATTAAACTGTTGTTAAGTTCTCATGACTCAGATAGGTCTGGTACCAAGAAATATCTCTTTCTGATTATGGGGAACCCGCATTATCAATAAAAACCGATACATACTTTCGCACAAATATAATCCTTGGAGTTACAACGTTTATGATCATATTTATTTTCATTCTGTTCTTTTGTTTTTAACGTAAACACTGTATTCGTAATTCTAATTGTTTCTTATCAAAGAATCGTTATCTGGTCTGTTATTGCTTTCAATTAATATTAATACCAAATCATTAACGATTTAATTATTTTATCTTGAAAGAGTGCCTAATTACTGGAAATAACCCCTCGAATTAAAAAGTGTTTCTTTTATTTAACTAATGAAAATAAAATTGATACTTTGGTTTGTGATGATAAACTGTAACTGTAATATCAAAAATAACTATGCTTTCATAAATTTTGTTGTGTGTATGCTAATTATATACCTTTTTTTTTAACTCACAACTCCTTATCAAAGAAGTTATTGCGGTCTTATCATATTTGATTAAGATAGTGATGATGAGAACATTTTGGTGTCTTGTTGTATGCTAATTAAAGGCTGAAACAGATGCAGTTTGAAATGGTATAAATGCACCGTCGATAGGGAACTTTTCATTGGGTTTTCCAGTTGACCGATCGTTGCTACGATGAGATGTAAGTACCGGATGAGAAACTTATCAATATCCTTTAACGTTCAAGACAATCGTTTTTGGGTTTCAGTGGTCTGGATATTGATGTCCTTGCAGCTTATGCTCCTGGCAACTGCTCTCAGTGCCAGACAATGTGTGACGCCGACTGCTACGCCAACACCTTCAGAGGATCCCGACGAACCCACTGACGATCCATGGGATCCCACAGATGATTCATCTGAAGATCCCTCGGATCCAACTGATGAGCCCTCGGATCCAACCGGAATATCAACTGAAAGGCCTTCCACTACCTCAACCCCTGAAAATCCTTCGGATCCCACGGATCAACCAACTGGAGAAACATCTAATCCCTCCGATCCCACCGAAAACCCATCAGAGCCAACGGGAGAACCCAGTGAAGAACCATCCTCCCCAACCGGTCAAACCCCTGAAAATCCCACTGATTCCCCTACTCTACCAACTGAAGAACCATCAGAAGAACCTAACGATCCGACGGGGGTAACAACTGACGTTCCCTTGGATCCAACTGGAGAGTCATCCAGTCCCTCAGAGAAACCAACTGAAGATCCCACAAATCAAAGTGAACCAACGAATGCCACAACCCAGACTACGCCCGGTGTAAATGCAGATGCCTCGTGCAGGACTCATCAGGGAGTCCAGTTCCTGCCACATCCGTACGATTGTCATCTATACATTCACTGCGATGGCGACGTGGGCTACGTCCGGGATTGTCCGAGTGATCTGTTCTGGAATTCAATCGAACAGACTTGCGACAAGACCTGCGCCTAGAGAAATATAGAACTTAGAATAGCATGCTCTCAAAAATTTGCCTTTTTGATTCCCACACACAAAAAAAAGCACGTCGCCGTAAAATCGATAAGTCCAGGTAATTTTCTGGTTATTCCTACTCATATCGTTTTTACCTGAAGTATTCATAAAATTTACATTAAATAATATCATTTTGCCGAATTCTCTCTCTCGGAGATTCTCTAACTTCGAAAAAGAGCGCAAAAATCAATATGGCGAGCAAAATGACATGAGTGGAAGCGAGAAAGACGTATTCGAAATTCGAACTGACGTACTTCAAAAGCATGTTTTCTCGCCCGCACAAGTATATGTTTTGTTCGACCGTATCACATTTACCTGGCCCCATATCAAGTTAAAAATGATCTTAAAAAAGGTCAAATTGACCTACGATTCATATCGATTTTTTTTGGGCGCAGTGATCTTGAGCTTGAACACGGCCATGTTCGTGACATTCATTCATTCACAGAATTTTGGGGTGTGGTTACTTCCAGGAACTACAATGCCCGAAGTTCACACCCCACTTAGACTGACACGATGGGGCCGTGTCTAACATGATCAACATAATTGACGGAGATAAGGTTGACTAACTAATGATGGTATATAAAAGGCTTTAAATTTTTGGCAATGATGCAGAGTACATCTCGATCATCACAAGCGGAATAAGACAAGTGAACAAGATGAAAGGTAAGCAAGTGCAGGAAGGATCTTCCTAGTAGACTCTGAGTAACCTTTCCCGCCTCCAGTTACTCTGCTAGCTGTGGTGGCACTCACTACAGTGGCCGCCCTCGTCGGTGCAGCCGATCCTGAATGTGTTTACCGGAAGATTCGAGGTCTCTCGACGCACTGGCCGAAGCCCTCGAGCTGTTCCAGCTACTACCGCTGCTCCTCGAAGAACACCGTGCGCACGGTGACGTGTCCTTTGGGCAAGGAGTACAATCCCAAGACGGGCCGATGCTCCACCGCAGGACGAGGTCTCTGCAAGCTGAGCCTGGTGGCCCCCCTGGCCGAGGTGGGTTAACTTTTAGGGTACCTTTTTATACCCGTTACTCGTAGAGTAAAAGGGTATATTGTATTCGTGCAAAAGTGTGTAAAAGGGAGAGAAAGAGTTGATCTTGGTGAGATCTCGGAAACTACAAAAGCTAGAAGGTTGCGATTTCCCACACATATTCTTGAGCTTCCCACGCAGCGTAAGTTTATTTCAGCCGAGCGCCACGCCCCCTCTAACGCCCACAATCGCCCACTAGGGGCTGTCCATATATTACGTAATCACGATTTCGGCGATTTTTGACCCCCCATGTAATCAATTCTTCATAAAAAAAAAATTTGCACTAGAGTAATCATTTAGTGGACCCCCCCCCCCCTAGATGATTACCTAATATATGGACAGCCCCCTAACGATTTTAAAATGTGTCTGACGCCCACACCTTGAAAGATTTCCGAGAAGTATAAATGCAGTTTTGTTGTGTATATTTATACCTATTGAAATGTAGAAGACATTTTTCAAATCGGACCATTCTTTAAAAAGTTATGCGCAATCAAAAAAATGTTATATATCCCTCGCACTTCCTTTAGCCGAGTGACGGGTTTTAGATAGTCGAAACTATAGCGTTCTCTCTTGTTAAGCCCTAATTCAATACCTCTTATACCCAACAGACCACCAATGTGTGTTCCGCCGAGGTGAACGGCGCCTATCTGGCCAGGAGTGGCTATTGCGGCGAGTTCTACATCTGCGACGAGCAGCAGGCCTTCGCCCAAAAGTGCGACTCCGGTAGCTACTTCAATGAGACCCTAAGTGCCTGTGTTCCGGATACGAACTCCACCTGCTGGCAGAACCTGTGCATCGGCAAGACGAGCGGTGTCTTTGTGGAAAATGAGCAGAACTGCGGCAGCTACTATGTGTGCTCCGATTCGGAGGCCACCCTGCAAACTTGCCCCTCGGGCAGCTACTTCAACACTTCGGTGGACGCCTGTACCGTGGATGTGGGCAACAAGGAGTGCTGGGTTAACTACTGCATTGGTAAGACCGATGGTTCGGCTGTGGCGGATGAGTCCAGCTGCACAGCGTTTTACGTGTGCTACGGCAACACGGCCACTGCTCAGGAATGTCCCGAGGGTAGTCACTTTGAAAAGGACTCAGATTGGACCTGTGTGCCTGGCGATTGCACTACGGAGTCACCCTGCGATGATACGACTACCTCAACCACTGAACCCTGTGATGATATCACAACCACTACAACTGAACCTTGCGATGATTTGACGACTACAACCACCGAACCCTGTGATGAGTTGACCACGGAGCCACCTACCTCCTGCGATTGTGGTGACATCAAGAACGCCGAGTTCGTTCCCGATAAGGAGAATTGCCGCAAGTACTACATCTGCATTGATGGTGAACTGGTGACCGGAGATTGCGGCAAGGGCAACTTGTTCAACGAAACCCTGAGTGTTTGTCAGGTGGATGATAATAACCAATGCTGCGTGGCGGATTGCACAGAAGGGGCAACGAAACTGGATGTCCAGGACTGCACCAAGTACTTCAAGTGCCAGAGTGCCGACTGGACTTCCCTATCCTGTCCGGCAGGAAGTTACTTCAATGTGACCCTCGAGACCTGCGAAGTGGACGAGAAATACGTGTGCATTGAAGCTCCAACTACTAGGCAATGCAATGCTCGAGATCCTGTGGCCAGCGGAGCAAATTGCTGGAGCTACCAGGTCTGCATCGATGGATTGTGGGAGGAGGAGACCTGCCTGGCTGACTACTACTTCGATGCCTCCGCGGGCATTTGCCGACCGGATACGGACAACAAGTGTCCCGAGAACCGATCGCGACACAAGAGAAGCCTCGAGGATTGCACCTGCGAGGGAGGCATCGAGCAGGGAGCGATCATCAGCCATCCCACCGATTGCGACAAGTATCAGATCTGCGAGAATGGACAGCTGGTCACGGGCCTGTGCGGCGTGGGCAATCTCTTCAAGAACTGCAGCGGCGTCTGTGCGCCAGACACCAAGGCCACCTGCTGGGTGTGCTTCAATAAGCCGAATGGCTACCAGATGCCCAATCCCACCGACTGCACCAGCTACCTGACCTGCTGGAACGGCCTGGCCACGGAGCACTCTTGCGGCGCGGATGAGTATTACAATGGCAATGGTGACTGCGTGCCCGACTTGAATGCCAAGTGCATCAATCCCTGCACCTGTGCCAATGGCAATGTGGCCCATCCCATTTGCACCGAGTACTTCCAATGCACCGACGGTGTTGCCCAGGTGGTCGAGTGTCCCTCGGGCGAGGCCTTCGATTCCGAGACTGGTCTCTGCTCCGCCAGCGTGGAGTGCTCGGCCAAGAACTGCGCCACCGCCTCCGATGGCACCACCTATGCCGTTGCTGGGGATCCCAGCAAGTTCTACCTGTGCCTCAACCAGGAGGCAACCATCGTAGCCTGTCCGGCCAACACCGCCTACACTGCTACTCTGGGCATCTGCAAGACGGTACCCAGTGTAAGTTACCTACTTAACTTAACTTAGGAATGATTAATATAATATCTTTACTCAAAAAAAAAACTATAGAACGACTGCGATCAGACCGTTTGCAAGACTGCCGCCGTGGACTCCACTTACCCCTCCCAGAATAATGACAATTCTACTTTCTGCGTTTGCCTAGACGATGGTGGCTATCTGGAATCCTGCCAAACTGGCTGGTTCTACGATGAAACTCTGGATATCTGCACTTTCGTAAGTAGCCGGCGAAATAAGATTGTGAGAAATATCCAATGGTCTAACCCCTTTACAGCCGGGCAACTGCGAACCGCAGATCTGCAGCGGAGAGTCGGAGTACTACGTGTCCCCGGACTACGAGGATCCCAATAGCTTCTGCCTGTGCCGCGCCGGCGAACCCGTCTCAGTGCCCTGTCCCCGGGGCTACACCTTCGATAGCGAGGAGCTCGAGTGCGTGCTCATTCCTCAACCAGATGTGAGTATTGGGATTGGAAGGGTTTGGAAAAAACTTGTTTTATTAACATGTTAAATGTCAAAGTGTTAAGTTCAAAAAAAGTTATTGACTTGTGTGTACAAAATTGTATCCTACTTATGTTAGAAACATAAATAGCACACACATGTCATTGGTGTTATTTACACGACTGGTTTTTTACACAGCGTGCTTTTAGCACAATGAGTTTTTGATATTAAAGTGTCATAATTGTATGTTGGAACTGAAAAATGCTCGGTTTTTTAGAGTATTAGAATTCATATATGCTTTGAAACTGTTAAATCTTACATTTTTCATTTTCCCTTCGACTCGTTAATGTCAGAGAATTGTAATTTTCATTTGTGTTAAAAAGACAGTGTGTAAAAAACCTGTTGTGTTAAAAACTATTGTGTAAAAAACACAAGTGAGCTGTGTGTGTTAACAATTATTTTTCACATCTTAACACTTTTGTATTTGACACACATGTCAAAGATTTTGCTCACAATGTAACATACAATCTTTCATGTTTTTAACATATGTGTCAATTTCCGAACCCTGCGGAAAACCATATAGTAATTTATCTTATCCCCTTAAAGCCTCGTTGTTGCCGCAATATTTGTGTGGGCCATTCGGACTTCGACACTGTTCCCGCCGCGGAGACTACCGATGGCTTCTGCCTCTGCGTGGATGAGGTTCCCAAGTACGTTAGCTGCCCGGATAATACCGAATACGACAAGGAGCTGGGCTACTGCACGAGCACTGGGGTACGTTTATTTAGATGGTTCTGTGGTCCAATCATCCTTAATGGATTTTCTTCCTGCAGGAGGAAGGCACTTGCGCTGTGAATGACTGCGATACCACCACTTGTGAGAAGGAATCCGACTACTATACCTTCCCCGTGGAGGGCGAGCCATCCGGTTTCTGCTATTGCCTGAACTACTGCCCCATCTATTACGCCTGTCCCGGTGAACTGGTCTATGACGAAGAGTTGGGAATTTGCAAGGAAGCAGTGGTGAGTTGGGATCGGAGAACCCTAGATCTATTACCTTCTTAATTATTACTATCATTAATTCCACCCCAGGATCCCTGTGTTGTGCCCAAGTGCAATGCCGAGAAATGTGACGTCCTGGCGGAGTACACTCCATATCCACCCAACGAAGGCTTGGATGGCTTCTGCTATTGCAACGGCGGCCTGCCCATCTTTTATCCCTGTGACGAAGGAATGGAATTTAATGAAAACCTGGGAATTTGCAAAAAGCCCGAGGTAAGACGGGAATGTCCTTGTAATGAAGCCTTCTTAAGTTAATCTTGTAATATTTCCAGGATGGCTGCGTGACTGCCTTGTGCGATGCTGCCAAGTGCTCCACCATGGACGATTACGTGCCCTTCCCAACGACCGGGGCCACCGATGATAGCGCTTCCTTCTGCTACTGCAATGGCGATGAGGTCTACCTAGCCGAGTGCAGTCCCGAAATGGTGTTCGTTGAGGATCTGGGACGATGTGCAGTTGTGGCGGTAAGTTATTATCTTCAAAGTAATATATTTACAGTGTGTTACAAAAGTGTTAGAATTTGAAAAATAATTGTAAGCACACACAGCTCACTTGTGTTTTTTACACAATGTGTTATTAACACGACGTGTTTTTTACACACTGTTTTTTTACCACAAATGAAAAAAACTCATTGTGAAATTGACACACATGTTAAGAACATGAAAAATTGTATTTTACAGTGTGTTACAAAAGTGTTAAAATGTGAAAAATAATTGTTAGCACACACAGCTCACTTGTGTTTTTGACACAATGTGTTATTAACACGACGTGTTTTTTACACACAATGAGTTTTTTCATTTGTGGTAAAAACACGCTGTGTAAAAAACACGTCGTGTAAACAACACAAATGACATGTATGTGTTATTTAAGTTTCTAACATATGTAGGATACATATGTAGGATAAAATAATTTTTTTTTTAACTTAACACTTTGACATTTAACATGTTAATCACACAAGTTTATTTTGCTATTTTCCGAACCCAGATATATTTATTAACTTCTCGGTTATTTCTTAGGCCTCCGAGTGCATTTGCGAGGCGGGTCAATGCACTGAAAGCGATGACTACCAATCCTATCCGGCCCTGACAACCACCGATGGCTTCTGCTTGTGCGTGGCCGGAACTCCGGTCTTCAAGGATTGTCCAGAGGGCAGTAGCTACAACAACGTCTTGGGTGCCTGCCTGGTGGCCGCCAAGATCGATGCAGCCATTCTCTGCGATTCCACGAGATGCCACAGCCGAGCCCTTTTGGCCACCACTTTCGCAGCCACCAATACGAGCAGTGGCTACTGCAGCTGCCAGGAGGTGGGAGTCTCCACCTTCACCAGTTGTGCCGATGAGCATGTCTACGAGGAGGAAGCGGGTGCCTGTGTGATTGAGGCCTGCGACTATACCAACTGCCTGAACAAAGCCAACTTCGATACGTTTGCGGCCAAGAACGACACCGAAGGATTCTGCTCCTGCGAGGGTGCGGCCACCTTCCACAAGTGCCAAACGGGACACACATTCGACAAGGCCCAGGGCATTTGTAGGCTGAAGGAGGCCCTGGCGATGATCTCTTGCAATTTGAAGGAATGCCTGAGGCGCGGCCAATTCGAGCCCTTTGCCGCCGAGAACACCAAGGAGGGATTCTGCTCCTGCGATGACCAGGACCGCATCACGGTCACCTATCATCCCTGCTCAGCGGGCCACCTCTTTGCCCCCGAACTTGGCGTCTGCCGGGATCACAGCGTCCAGAAGCGTTCCGTGGAGGCGGAGGAAAACGTAAGGTCCCTCTCCTTGTTCAAGAAATTCTTCCCGAAACTCTTCTAGGCCTCTAGCTCTTTAGCTCGCCCTCTATACTATACTCTTTTATACATTAGTTGTTATTTATGAGTTACGATTTATGTGAATGTTCCGCTTGTTCCACTTCTATACGTATTGAATACCCCATAATGTACTTTACCCTTTTATGCTCGACAATAAATTCAAAATAGATGAATTACCAAATTTCGGCTTTTCATTTGTGTGCCTATAGAATGGAACATGTGGATTTCGTGGATTTTACAGAAAAGGTAAAGGGGATTTTTTTTAATTTAAGTGTTTAGTCTTGTTTGTTTTCAAACCCATTTCATACAGCACCGATAAAAAAAAAGTAGTAAGTCACTAAATTTCATAATAAATTTTAACACTTTCGCTTTGAATCTAAAGTTTTACAAATGTGCATTTTAAGAAACTTAAACTTTAATTTGGTTTTTTAATTATTTATCATTAATCAAAAATGCTCTAAGTTTATTTGACTAAAATGGTATTTAATAATTTCTAGCTCGTTTTACACATTTTCAAATACTGAAAAAATATATATTTTTTTTTAATTTACAAGGAATTGTTAAAATATATTAGCTTAAATTGTAATAGTAATTTAAAATTTGTTTTATTTTTTTATTTTTTTATTTTTTTTATTTTTTTTTTATTTTTTTATTTTTATTTGTATTTTTTTCATTTTTATTTTTATTTTTATTTTTATTTTTATTTTTATTTTTATTTTTATTTTTATTTTATTTTTATTTGTATTTTTATTTTTATTTTTTTTATGCCAACGCTACAAGCTTCGAGCTTATTTATTAATGTGCTAGTCACAAAATAGTATAAAGAAATACTTAATTTTTTTTTTTTAATTAGTGATTTGACTTGACCTAATCATTATAATATTCCCTTGCTTATCCATTTCTATTGTTTCCCATCCCCTCAATACAATTTAAATGTATTTAATTTAATTCACCCCCACTTTTGTCTTTCCAGACTTGCGACTTGGACGAGAAGCGTTCGGTGCCAGCGAACTGCTCCCAGTACGAGGTGTGCATCGATGGCCACTGGCGGCGACGCACTTGCTCCGACCAGCGTTACTACAATCCGGAGCAGCAGCGATGCCTGGAGCCGCGGGACGACCTGGTCTGTGCCTACGCCAGGGTATCCAATCTGCCCGCCTGCAGCAATGTCAGCGAATCCCAGACGGTGGTGGCCAAAAGTGGCAACTGCCTGCAGTACTTCCGCTGCTCCGGTGGCAAGTGGCGCCTGCGCAGCTGCCCCAGGCAGCACTACTACTCTCCTGCGATCGGCTCCTGTCTGCCGCTGCCGAGGGGCCAGGAGCAGCAGGACAGGAATCAAACCATGTGCAGTTGGCCCAGTAATTCCTCTCCAGATTGCCAGCACCTGGCAGTGCGTCCTTCCATTGCCGGCGGCTGTCAGAGCTACCTGATGTGCCTGGACAACTCCTGGTGGCTGCATCAGTGTCCCCTGGGCATGTACTTTAGCCGGCAGCTCAACTACTGTCTGCCCAATGATGGGGGGCAGTGCTCGCTGCCCAAGGAGCAGGTGAACTGCTTCAGGGGAGACAGCAGATCCCTGGTGGGCAGTTGCCATAGCTACGAGTTGTGCGGGGAGAATGGTCAGTGGATAAGGAGACGCTGCCAGGAGAGGGAGCAATTCGAACCCCTGCTGGGATGTGTGCCCAGCGATGGAAGCTGCCAGGCTAATGGGATGCGGAGGATCTGCCGGGAGGGCGAGTTGCGTGCTCAGTTAGGGAAGAACTGCTCGCAGACATTCCTCTACTGCGAGGCGGAGGAATGGCATCTGGGCAGCTGCCTGAGGGGTCACAGCTTTGCTGGCGATCTCAACAAGTGCCAATTGCAATCGCAATGTCAGCTTAAAATCAGGGATCTCCCCTCGCCGGATAACCTTTGTCTGGGTCAGTCGGATGGCCTAAGTGTCGCCGATCCCTCGGATTGCACGAGATTCTACCTCTGCCTGCAGCAAGTTCCTGCGATCCTGCAGAGCTGCTCCTCCGGCAGCTTCTTTGACTCCCGCGAGGGTTACTGCCGACCCAACGATGGCTCCTGCCAGCTGGCCATCTGCTCGGGACTGGAGGATGGCAGGCTGGTGGCCCATCCCAAGGACTGCCGCTCCTACTACAGCTGCTCCAGCCAGAATGGAACCAGGCTGATCCAATGCGATGAGGGTCAGTACTTCCACAGCCTGCTCTCCGTTTGCCGCGTGGATCATGGACAGTGCAGAAATATATCCAATGAGGAGGAAAAGAAAGGTGGAACCAATCTATGCTCCGGTCTCCATGGAGTGAGAAGACCCCACGAACTCTACTGCAATTTGTACTATGCCTGCGTCAAGGGATTGGCCATTCCCGTCGAGTGTCCCTTTCAGCATCAGTTCAATCCAGTGCTATCCATTTGTGAGCCCGAATCGCAGGCCCTTCAACCATGTCCCAATGGTCAGCTGGAGGGGAATGTCAGCTATGTCTACAGTTGTGGCAGCCTGCCAGATGGCAGCTTCCTGGCCAATCGGACCGACTGCACCCGGTACTTCATCTGCGCCGGGGGAGTGGCCACCGCCCAGCGATGTTCAGCGGGCAGCTTCTTTGATTCAGAGCAACTACTTTGCCTGACGGACGACGGCTCCTGTCCGCTGGTGGAAACGGTGCCCGATGATGACGATGAAAACCCAAACAACCAGCATGTTCCTCCAGATCCTCTCGTTTGCGAGGGCAAACATGGCTATATTATGCCCGATCCGGCCAATTGCAATAACTTTTATCTGTGCGTCTCGGGAAAACTGCGCCATGAGCTCTGCTACACGGACTACTTCTTCAACGCGACATTGCAGCAGTGTCAGGGGTACGAGGTCAACTCGGATGGGGATTTAATGACAGAGAAACCAATGGAATCCCAACAGGAGGAAAGGGCGGCGGCGACTGGGATCTGCAAGGATGCGGCCACCACTTTTGCCGGAATATGTGGAGTCATAGGAAATGGAGCCTCGGTGGCGGAGCAGGGTGACTGCAGGCGATACACCAGCTGCGAGGAGGATGAGCCCGTTTCCCAGCGATGTCGCAATGGCGAGAGTTTCGACAGCCTTTTGGGAATCTGTCGCCAGAACGACGGCACTTGCCTCATGGAGAACGGCGAACGGGTGGGCGTGTGCAACGGAAAGCACGGTCAACTGGCCCGGGATGCGGACAACTGCCGGGGATACTTCACCTGCGTGCATGGCCAGAAGATCGAGGGAGAGTGCGCCCAGGGAGAGATGTTCAACCGGCTGACCAGCAGCTGCGAACTGGATGCACTGCAGCAGTGCAAGAGCTCCACGGACGAGGTGATCAGCGGCGACAATCTGGGTTAAATTGGAGGATCGAAAGGGGTTTTAGTTAAGTCAAACTTATGGTGGTGGTTGAATAATATAAAATACGAAAAAAGGCACTATTAGGAGGTTTAAGGTCGTTTTCTTGTCCGTTCGTTGTCCGTTGTCCGTTGTCCGTTAAAAACTTGTAATCGTATGGGAAATCAGAGTTTTAACCCTACTTTAAATTTAAATGTGACGGACGAGAAAACGGTCTTTAAAGATTTTACTAAAAAATCAGAAGATTTTCAAAATCAAAATAATTTATTGAAGAATTGAATTATTCATGTACCCAAATCAAAGATTCGATTTTGTTGTTTCGCAATAAAACTCAAGCACATTTCCCTATTTTTCCACTTTCTTAAGTGCTTTGCAACATTATCATATAACATTTTAAAAACTTAAGTACAATAAAATTAATATAAAACAACAATTATAAATTTGTGATATAGAAATTCTGTATAATATACGTATCAATCCAAAATAGATATATAGATTTTTAGACGATAAGTGAATCATCCCGTGAACGATTGACATTTCTGGCCAGCAACAATAAGATCTAGAATATTGCCTTATAAGAGGCCTCTAATGTGACCTAAATGTTCTCAACTGACGTAACTGACGCAACATCGAAAACAAATAAGTGCTATTTGCCTACTTCAATTCTCGAACTCAACTTGTATTTTACCAACAAAACGATAGTGTCAATCAAAGACAAAGGAGGCCGAAAAACGGCCGAAATCAACACGCACTAACCCCTGAAATAAGAAAATTAGGCAAGGTTTTTAGAGTTATTAATGACGTGCATTCAATCAAAATAGACTCCCAGCCACACAACATACGAGCACCAGACAATGTCGCATATAACTCTATTTTTATGGTCACGAATTTGCGGCTGTAATCATCAAGGGGTTCGTTGCTTAGGGCGCCCCTGGGATAGCTTCATTCAAGCCCAAAATTAATTTTACCTATAGGTCAACCACCATTACATATGTAGGAGTCCAAAACACTGTGACGACCGTAACCCTGTGACTAACTGACGTCATTTACAACCATCAATACGGTGCTCGTATCCCGAGTAGCCCGAATAGTCGGCCTGATTTAAAATTAGAAAGTCATCACGATGAACCTCGTGCAACAGCGAGTCAAATACCATATTAATAGGATATTCGTGTTAAAAGTACCCTTCGCATAGCCCACAGACCCTTTTGTGGAATGGGTGTAAGCTATGGTTTTAGCTAGTGATGGGAAAGTACAGATTGAATTGATTTATGAATATATATGAATAGTAACTAAACACCCTTTTAAAGTAGTACATATATTATGACCTATAGGTATTTCAATGTATCATTTAGTGAATATAAGGGGGTATATTGAAACGAAAACATATTTTAAATTGGAATTTCTTTTAGTATGGCTAATAAGTCAAATTACTTGGCCATTCTCAAAGAAGTCTCTATTATATATTTATCATATTTCAATTGATCTTACACATATATATTTTCCTTCGATATGTGTTAGTATAGTGGAGTATCTTTCATCTTAGATATTATTATAGTTAAGGTGTCCCTATACGATTTAGTGATTGTCCAAAGGACAGATTTTAAATTCAATAAAGAATTCAATATAAATAAAGAAGAGAAAAAAAAAAATCTTAGATAGAAGGTACATACTGAAAAAGTCCCAATGGGGAACAGGTTTTACCACACATCACCATTGGTAGTACTTCCTCTATATACCCCGGCTCGACTTCAATAAATTCAATAAGAAAAAAAAAAAAATCTTAGATGTACCTTCTGTACTGAAAAAGTCCCAATGGGGAACAGGTTTCTCCACACATCACTATTGGTATTACTTCGTCTATAGACCCCTGCTCGAATTCAATAAATTCAATAAAGAAAAAAAAAAAAAAAAAAATCTTAGATGTACCTTCTTTACTTAAAAAGTCCCAATGGGGAACAGGTTTCTCCACACATCACTATTGGTATTACTTCCTCTATAGACCCCAATATATCAATAAAGAAAAAAAAAAAAATCTTAGATAGAAGGTACATACTGAAAAAGTCCCAATGGGGAACAGGTTTTACCACACATCACCATTGGTAGTACTTCCTCTATAGACCCCTGCTCGACTTCAATAAATTCAATAAAGAAAAGAAAAAAAAATCTTAGATGTACCTTCTGTACTGAAAAAGTCCCAATGGGGAACAGGTTTCTCCACACATCTCTATTGGTATTACTTCCTCTATATACCCCTGCTCGACTTCAATAAATTCAATAAAAAAAAAAAAAAAAATCTTAGATAGAAGGTACATACTGAAAAAGTCCCAATGGGGAACATGTTTCTCCACACATCACTGTTTGTATTACTTCCTCTATAGACCCCTGCTCGACTTCAATAAATTCAATAAAGAAAAAAAAAAATCTTAGATGTACCTTCTGTACTGAAAAAGTCCCAATGGGGAACAGGTTTCTCCACACATCACTATTGGTATTACTTCCTCTATAGACCCCTGCTCGACTTTTGCTCATCGAGAGAGCCGTGATTAGCTATCTGTCCCAGAGTGTCACTGTCCTGGCCAGAGGGTCATAGCTCCTGGTCGGTCAATCGGTCGGGAGCCGTCGTGGTGAGCGGTACGCCATATAGAGAGCGGAAAGTGTCCAAGTCAAGTGGTATTGTAAAGTGGCCAGGATGGACGTGCGAGCGTGTGCTTGGATAATGTGAACCTTGATTGAAAGATAGTAATTACAAGCCACACAAAATCAATAGTGGGCCACTTTGAATTGTGAATTGTGAAGAACACAGAAGACAGATCTTAATTCGATCATTTAGCGTGAAAGTGATACCAAAGCACTACCGCAATCAATAATCGATTACTCATAGACGACGGAAGCGAATCAATAAACCTTCAATTGTTGTGATTACTTCAATGGCATGGGACTTTTCACAACTGCCAACGAACGCTGACATTTCCAGGACGTCCGTCGCACGCTTATTAGTGATCCAGGTACGAGTCGGAATGGATTTGTTTGTCCGTCGTCGCCCAGTGACCACCACACTTCCATATCCATACACTATATATCCCAATACCAAATCTAGGGCAATTATTTAGAACTATTGTCATTCGTCCGCCTGGGAAAGTGTTCACCACTCGTAGCAACAAGTTTGCCTCTGGCCCACCTTCTAAAATTCTAGGACCCAACTGGACTCGCTCCCATAGTGCACTAATGCTAATGTGATGGCATTATTCCCAATGGCTGTAGCAGTAGTTTTTGCCCCAACCACTAAAAAGCACATCGGGCTATACAAACAACTTCCATGGGTCAATGTCGAATGCGTGCCCGAGTTCACCTTTTGATTGGAACGCGTTTGCAAATGAAGATACAAATACTCTTAGGGGTATAAATTAACGCCCTGCTCGAGGCCAGTAGTATAAACATACATGAATAGTTAATGCCTGGTTAGGTGGACTCCGTTCGATCGGGGGATAAAAAATAAAACTATGTGCAGCCTGACAACTCTTGAATGACAGGCCACAAACGACTCCCCCGTCAAGTTTCCAAACTTGTGGCTTTAAATAGTTTATCATGGGTAACGGAGCAGGTGCTCCAAACTAGGCCAAATTATAGAAGCGGCCCCATTTGACCGACCTGCCGTCCCTCCAATTGCGCTCCACAGAATTCCATGACGCCATAGCTCCGGCGTAGGAGAGACGATGAGCAGTCACGAAGGAAGGTCCGGCGAGAGGTCACACGTCTTTCAGATTCGCATCGACAGCGTCGAGGATGAGAGCACCGCCCCCATAACGGAGGCCAGTTCTCGAGAGGATCTCATCAGCAGCGCCGCCCGGGAGGGCGACAGGACCAGCGAGCAGTCGATCTTTCAGTTTCCCAGTGAGTAGTTTCTGCATCCCTATTTGTATTAAAAATATACTATATAAAGTATAGATTTGTGTTATTGACCTAATACTAAATAATATAAATTATATACTCAGTAGTATTAATTTCATATGAAATATTATAAACTTAATATTTTGTAGTTTCATTTTTATACTGAAAGTTTCAATCTAATACTTTTGAAAGTATTCATTTTAGATTCATTTTATTGGTGCAAATTTGCCACTCAAGAGTGTGAATTCATGAAACAAAAGTTTCGTTTCTGTGACTATTTATTTTTGGGTGTTTTTTAAAAATGAATTAATGTTATGCAATATTTTAACACTTTTACATTTCCCCTGTTCTGTGTCTTAAAAATAGAATGAAATGAAATATTTACATAAAATATATTATTACACTAATATATTTAATAATTGTCGGGATAAATTCTTTCGACTTTTAAAAACAACAAACCTTATAATAAGTGTACTCAATATGCTTATGTTATAAAAGTGTTTTTAGATATTATATTAATTTACTAATCCTAACAAGAATCTTTTTGAATTACTTGTGTGTTAAGTAACTAATCAATAATAAACGATGTTCTAAGGACTCATTATACCCGTTACTCGTAGAGTAAAAGGGTATATTAGATTCGTGCAAAAGTATGTAACAGGTAGAAGGAAGCGTTTCCGACCCTATAAAGTATATATATTCTTGATCAGGATCACTAGCCGAGTCGATCTAGCCATGTCCGTCTGTCCGTCTGTCCGTCTGTCTGTCTGTCAGTCTGTCTGTCTGTCTGTCTGTCTGTCCGTCTGTCCGTATGAACGCTGAGATCTCGGAAACTATAAAAGCTAGAAGACTGACATTTTGCATGCAGATTCTAGGAGTTCCTACGCAGCGCAAGTTTATTTCAAAAGGGTGCCACGCCCCCTTTAACGCCTACAATCGCTTATATACGCTTTTAAAAATTTCAATATTTTGGAAAAGTAAAAATGCAGTTTTATTGTGTTTCTCAATACCTATCGAAATGAAAAAGAAATTTTTTTAATCGGACCATTCGTTAAAAAGTTACGGCGGATCAAAGTATCTCCATCTCCTTCGCTTCCCTTTAGCTGAGTAACGGGTATCTGATAGTCTGGGCACCCGACTATAGCGTTCTCTCTTGTTTTTATATTACGTGTCTCAATAATACTATTTATATTAGTGAGTGTAATTAATCAAGTTAATTATTAAAAACAAATACCCATCCTAACACCTATAAATATCTCTTTCTATATTTCCCCGTCCAGGATTCCTTTCGGTGCCAACGCTGCGTAGCCCGCGCCAATCCCCCGATCCCTCCGCCAGGAGGGAGGTGATGTCCAGTCCGGCCAAGAGCGAGCGCATGAGCCGCCGGAGCCAGACGAAGCTGCGACCACGACGACTTAGCCAGGATAGTGGCATTGTGGCAGGAAGATTAATTGGATACGGAGTAAGTTTACCCATCGTTTGTTTCGTTAAATAAACAAATTATTAAATCCTAAAATCACACAGGAGGGTGTCCTAATTGACACCGATCTGCAGTCAAGGAAAATCGTAGCCGATCCGACAGATAGCGTATATAGCTGCCAGGCGGACGATAATGTTGCGTTGGCCAACACCAAGCCCGCCACTCCGATTCCGCCAAAGAGCAAGCTGAGTGGAAATCGGGCTCGGGCGGGATCGGCTGCCTATACGGAAAAGTGGCTCAACTCGTCGGTGATGCGGACGAGCAACGGGAATCCGCTGTTTCCCAAATCCAACTCGATTGCCGTGCCGCTGCCCACGCATCTGGAATCGGAATCGGCGGAACCGAGTCCCACGCAGGCATTTGGCCCGAAGATCCTGGGAAGTCACGAGGAGGATATTCCCGGAACGGCCATGCGACGGAATTTGGGCCTCAATCTGAGTCCCACTCTGGGCTCCGGCGACAGGGTGAATCAGTCCTACGAGATCATGGAGTCGTCGCACTCCAATGTTTTGCCCAACGATCAGTTTGGCTATCGGCAACTCATTCCCACGGAGCGAAAGGCCTCGGATTCGACGAGTTCCGTGAGCGGAAGTTACTACGGCAGCCGGAAGGCCAGCAAAAGCAACAGCCTGGGTGGCGAATCCGGGGACGAGAGAAGGGTCAGCAAGCAGGATCGGGAGGGCCTGGATCCCGAATCGCTGATGTTTCGCGACGGTCGACGGAAGGTGGACATGGTGCTGGCCTGGGAGGAGGAGGACCTGGGCGTCATGACCGAGGCGGAGGCCAAGCGACGCGATAACCGTCGCTGCTTCATGGAGAACCTCATCAAGGAGGGATTGGAGGTCGAGCTGGAAGACAAGTCGCAGTCCTTTAATGAGAAGACCTTCTTCTTGAAGATCCATTTGCCCTGGCGACTGGAAACCCGACTGGCCGAGGTCATGAACCTGAAGCTGCCGGTCAAGAGATTCATCACCATATCGGTGAAACCATCTTGGGTTAGGATTTAGGCTTCTCAGCTTTGGATGTTTTTTAAGGGTTTTTTCTCCTTTAGGATGAGGAGAATGTGGTCTTACGGAATGTGCAATATTGGAAGGATGTGTGGCAGCGCTTGACCAAAAAGATTCAACTGGACCAAACTCTTCTGGAGGGAGAGACTACATTCAAGGCTGCAACAGCTAATGGCAATCCGGAGGAGCAGTAAGTTTCTCGATTAAATTACTATCTTCTTTACTTTTGTTGTAAGTTAGGCTTTGAAGTTTGGTTAGCCAACGATTAACTAACGAATGCTATCATTTTATATGCAAAACACTATTGCTACGCATAAAAAAATTTGATTGGTAAAATATACCTGTACGGATAGTTACATAACTATAAAAAATAGTTACCTGTATTTGTTTTTGCTTTGGGTGTGTGTCTTTGCTAATTGTGTGTATTTGTTGTTGTGAAAGTAACTACTTAATTGGTAGAATTGACAATTTTTGTGGTTGGACAATTATATGGGTTAATTTTACCAAGTTTATTTTTTTTGTGTAGAATTATTATTTGAAAAATCTAAACTTGTTTAAGCCTAAATCTTATTTTAAATGTAGGATAACAGATTTTATTTAATCAAATTTAGATTTTTTGCTTATAGTCCGATATCTAGTTATAGTACTTATAAGGTCCCTCCTTGATAACTTAAAGCCTTAATAAGCTTATGTGGGTATACTTGATGTAATTTCATGGAGTTAAAAGGTTCTTTAATTAGTAAATAATATATTTACTTCACGTGCTATTAATTTATTTCGTCTCCCTCAGGTTCATTGTTAAAGATCGAGCCACTGCCTTCACCAGTGCCCAGCGGTCGCTGATGGTGATGCAGGTGCTCATCCGGACGCCCTTCGACGAGAGCGACCGCAGTGGCATCCGGCGGCTGATGAACGACGGCACGTACTTGGGCGTTTTCCCGCTGCACGAGGGGCGGTACGACCGGCCGCACTCCAGCGGCATCTCGCTGGACCGCCGCGTCCTCTACCAGACGTGGGCCCATCCCTCCCAGTGGTACAAGAAGCAGCCGCTGTGTCTGGTGCGCAAGTACTTTGGCGACAAGATCGCCCTCTACTTCTGCTGGCTGGGCTTCTACACGGAGATGCTCGTCTATCCGTCGGTGGTGGGCACACTGTGCTTCATCTACGGCCTGGCCACACTGGAATCGGAGGACAATACGCCCAGCAAGGAGATCTGCAATGAGTATGGGACGGGAAACATTACCCTATGCCCACTTTGCGACAAGGCCTGCAGCTACCAGCGTCTCTCGGAATCGTGCCTCTTCTCCCGGCTCACCTATCTCTTTGACAATCCCTCGACGGTGTTCTTCGCCATCTTCATGTCCTTCTGGGGTAGGTGGCTTGAAATCATTGCACCCAAAAAAATCGATATGAAACGTAGATCAATTTTACATTATGTAATATCAATTTAAACTTGATATGGGGCCAGGTAAATTTGATATGGTCGAAATGAGTATTTCATGTAAAAACGATATGGATTTTCTTCATGTCCTTCTGGGGTAGGAAGTTTGAAATCATTACACCCAAAAAAAAATCGATATGAAACGTAGATCGATTTTACATTATGTAATATCAATTTTAACTTAATATAGGGCCACGTAAATTTGATATGGTCGAAATGAGTCCTACATGGGTTTTCCATGACCAGAAATTTATGTGTGTGGAAAAATGTGTTTATTATCTTTATCATAACTTTATAATAATTTAAATCAGGAACCGTAAATAAAAGTTATTTGTGATTTTTATTTTAAAAAGACTACTGTGATAATTATAACTACCAAACTAAAGATTGATTTAACATCTTCAAAACAGCCACCACATTCCTGGAGCTCTGGAAACGCAAACAGTCGGTTCTTGTGTGGGAATGGGACCTGCACAATGTCGATATGGATGAAGAGAACCGTCCGGAGTTTGAAACGAATGCCACCACGTTTCGCATGAATCCTGTTACGCGGGAAAAGGAACCCTACATGTCCACTTGGAACAGATCTATAAGATTTGTAATTACCGGTAGTGCAGTGCTATTTATGGTGAGATAACCATTATAATTTCCACAAGTAAAATTTATATTTATAATTACGATGCTTTGACAGATATCTGTGGTTCTATCTGCTGTACTGGGCACCATTCTGTATCGCATAACTCTCGTATCGGTTATTTATGGAGGCGGAGGATTTTTTGTCAAGGAGCATGCCAAGCTCTTCACCAGTGTCACGGCTGCCCTGATCAATTTGGTGGTCATCATGTTGCTTACTCGAGTAGGTCTAAGTTTTAACTTTCTGTCACTCCAAAACTAATATATATTCCCCTTTGCAATTTACAGATCTACCACCGCATGGCAATCAGGTTGACCAACCTGGAAAATCCGCGCACCCACACGGAATACGAGGACTCCTATACGTTCAAGATCTTCTTTTTCGAATTCATGAACTTCTACTCTTCGCTCATCTATATCGCCTTCTTCAAGGGGCGATTCTTCGATTATCCGGGAGACGATCAGGCCCGCAAAAGTGAGTTCTTCCGCCTCAAGAATGATATCTGCGATCCGGCGGGCTGCCTATCCGAACTCTGCATCCAATTGGCCATCATAATGGTGGGCAAACAGTGCTGGAACAATTTCATGGAGTACCTATTTCCCAAGTTTTGGAACTGGTGGCGTCAACGGAAGCACAAGCAGGTTGGTTAAAGAGCTCCTAACAAGAAAATCATTTAAAATTAAAATTTATTATAACTTTTTTTTAGGCCACCAAGGACGAATCGCATTTGCATATGGCCTGGGAGCAGGACTATCACATGCAGGATCCCGGTCGACTGGCCTTGTTCGATGAGTATCTGGAAATGAGTGAGTAATATATCTTTAGTAGGATTATAATAACTAAATAATCCCTTTTATTACCAGTTCTTCAATACGGCTTTGTCACCCTGTTTGTCGCTGCCTTCCCATTGGCACCGCTTTTTGCTCTGCTGAACAACGTGGCAGAGATCCGCTTGGATGCCTACAAAATGGTCACCCAGGCCAGACGTCCTTTGGCGGAGCGCGTTGAGGACATAGGCGCCTGGTATGGAATCCTTCGGATCATCACCTATACGGCCGTCGTCTCGAATGCCTTTGTGATAGCCTACACCAGCGATTTTATACCACGTATGGTCTACAAGTTTGTCTACTCTGAAACTCACACATTGGCCGGCTACATCGAGCACTCGCTGTCCATCTTCAATACCTCGGATTACAAGGAGGAGTGGGGTGCCTCGGTCAGTGAACGAGATCCGGATACCTGCCAATATCGCGGTTACAGGTGGGTTTTGATATTCCATCCATAGCAATACATAACTATACAATCGATATGAAACGTAGATCGATTTTACATTTTTTAAGATCAATTTTAATTTGATATGCGGCCAGCTAAATTTTACCTAGGCGAAAAGGGTATTTCATATAAAAACGATATGGGTTTTGCAAGACCTGAAATTTACACTCAGAAAAAAAAAACGATATGAAATATGGTTATTGAATGAAAATCCGATATGATTTATGTCAAATCTAAGATTCAAACATATCAACATATAATATCATATAAAATATCATATGGTATCATAAAAATACCAATTTATTATTTTAGAGGAAATATTATAAATAAAAGATTAACATAATCTTTATTCATATCGAAATGATGACTTGAATGACTTGATCTTAAAAAATATCGAATTGACCATTATCATTTTTTTTCTGTGCATGGCCATATCGATTTTACGGGAACATGCTTTTTTTTGTGTGTACCTATATCTTAATCATTACATATCTTTGTAGAAATGGTCCCAAAGATTATGAACCCTATGGTCTGAGTCCCCATTACTGGCATGTCTTTGCTGCTCGTTTGGCTTTTGTTGTGGTTTTCGAGGTTGGTTACTTTTACTAAAATCGAAAGATTTATATTATACATCTATATTATTTTGCAGCACGTGGTATTTGTCATAACTGGCATCATGCAGTTCATCATCCCGGATGTCCCGTCCGAGGTGAAGACCCAGATGCAGCGGGAGCAGCTGCTGGCCAAGGAGGCCAAGTACCAGCACGGGATCAAGCGGGCTCAGGGCGACAGCCAGGACATCATGAGTCTGTTTCGGGACACCAGCCAGAGGACCTCGATCGCCGGCAGCCAGGTGACAGCCCGCGGAAGCTGGGCTCGCCGCTTCAGCCGACTGAGCGACGGACTGGATGCCCACGTGGAAGTGGCCGCCCGACCGCGAAGATCGGTGGAGTCCACTGTGTGGGAGGTTTCCTGACACGAGGAGGAGGCCGAAAGCGAGGCCCAGGAACAGAACAAAAGATGAGCCAGCAGCAAGATGTTTTCACTCGCCTTTTTTCCATGATTAATTAGCCTATAGTATTTCATGTGTAATTGTTGTCAAAGCTCCACAGTTGAACTCTACTAATAATATTGTAAATAAATTATTTTAATTGTTGTAACCAGTCATCGTAAAGAATTTAGTATTTATAAGTGAGTATATATAGAAGTATTAGAAAAAAATATCTACAATATTTCTTTAAAAAGAAAAATTAGCCCATTTTATTGCAAACAACCATCCGCCCTGTTGCCACAACAACCAATTCAACACCACTTTTGTTTTACCATAGCAGCTTGTATTTTTATAGAAAAAAGTTTGACGTTTAAAAAATTAACAGAATTTTTTCTGAGTCCCAAATTATTTGAAGATGAACAAGAAGCTTTCGCCTGAGGATGCATTTTACGAAAATTTGACCTTGGGCCTCATAAGGACCCTCTGTGAGTATACGATTATCCGATGAGCAGTGTCCTTTAAAATAGAAGATCCCAAACTTTTAGCCAATGTGCCAAGGGTTTGTAATGTGACTCTGGAGCGCCGTCAGCCACTGAATGCCTGCCAGGTGGTCAACTGGGAGCAGAGGCACTGCGTCTACCTCCCTGAAGATATGAAGAAGTTCTACCTATCCTCGGATGGGTTCATTCTCAACTGGAGTTACCAGTACGCTCGTGAGTGGAGTGTAACTAATTACCCTGCCCTTTTGTGTATCCCCTCCATTCCAGCTAACGATATTCGGCGAGTGGGCCACATCCACTTTCCACACCTGCTGCAGGTGACCCTTCTGCGCGAGAATATTGAGACGACGGCGAGCCACTCCAGCAATGCAACTGCTTTGCCCAACAGCAACTCAGATGTTCTGGGAGCAGCCAGCAACTCGCAATCCCTTCCAGCACCGATGGCCAGCGGCAAGGACAAGTGGGGCAATGCGACGCCCATTATAACGGCCAAATCAAAGATATTCGAAATCAACAATGTAAACGAGGTGGCCAAGGTGGGTAATCAATACATATTTCCATATTCTTTGAAATAACTTTTTTTTTATTGCGCATAACTTTTTAATGAATGGTTCGATTTGAAAAATGCCTTCTACATTTCGATAGGTATAAATATACACAACAAAATTGCATTTATACTTCTCGGAAATCTTTAAAGGTGTGGGCGCCAGACACATTTTAAAATCGTTAGTGGGCGATTGTGGGCGTTAGAGGGGGCGTGGCGCTCGGCTGAAATAAACTTGCGCTGCGTAGGAAGCCGAAGAATATGTGTGTGAAATCTCAACCTTCTAGCTTTTGTAGTTTCCGAGATCTCACCAAGATCTCTTATAGGGTCGAAAACGCTTCCTTCTCCCTGTTACACACTTTTGCACGAATACAATATACCCTTTTACTCTACTAGTAACGGGTATAAAAATATATTCAAAATTTTCACAATCTCTAAAATACAATCATCATTTTGGCTCTGCAAATTTCTAGAAATTTCTATTACTCACTTGCCGAAATATTCCCCTAACAGGTTTGCATGCTGTACGAATCCACCAGTTCCAATAATCCCAAGTTCTATCTGCTGGAGCTGAGCACCCTGAGCTGGCAGTTTTTGGCGGACACTTTCAGTGAATACCTCCGAATGGCCATTGCCCATTTGGGATTGCCCTACTGGGAGCTGTGCTTTTCCACCTGCGGCCTGCCATCCTGGACGGAGCAGCTGTTCCTTCTGCTGGCACCCCATCTCCTGGAGGAACACGAACCCAGACGTGGTCGAGTACTGAATCCAGCCTGCGAGCATCCGTACAACATCATCGATCCGAACATATTCCGGGGAAAGCCGAAAAGCGTGGCAAAGGCAACGGCCAGCAGCACCAAACAGAATCATAATAAGTGACTTTTTAAGTAGAAAAGTGAACAATTTATTTGAGAGGCTACGTAAATGCCACAAAACAATGAAATGAATTCGTATTCCTGAGGATAGATTGGGTCAATAAATATACCAATTAAAAACATGGTAGCAAATTAATGTTAGCAGTGAATCAATAGAGTTTGCCTTTGAAAGTATATGACTAAATTCACGGTGTTTAAATTAGGTGTAGTAATTTCGACATACATATTTAAATTAAATTGCAATTTTTTGTTTTTTAGAGATTTAAAGACCATGACTCATTCTTAAGATATTGCCCCAACCCAAAGATCAGGAAGTTGGATGAGGGTTATGATTTGGCTACGACTCAGTAGAAGTCCGCGCTCTTATCCTCCAGATCGGCCAGCATCTTGTCCCTGATCTGCGGCCGCGGATCCTCGGTGATCTCGGTGGGCACTGCTCCCGCCTGGCCCAGCATGAACTCCAGCTCCTGGACGGTCAGCTTCTCGCCGCGCAGCTCCAGCGGACCGATATACTGCTTGCGCAGCGCTCCCTCGTGGTAGATGAAGATGGTGGGCAGGTTCTTCTCGGGGAAGTTTGGTATGCAGGTGGTGGCCACGGAGCGCACGAACTTGGTCTGCGGGAAGCGGACGGCCAGCTGCTGCATGTGATGGTGGATCAAGGCGCAGAGCGGGACACCGTTGGCGTACAGATGGAGGACCACCCAGATGCCTTCGCCGGCCTTCGTGACCTCGTTGACATAATCCTGTCCGGAGATTTCCCTTACAGACCCAAATCTTGCCTTCTCCGCCGTGGCCCTCATCTCGGCGATGCGCCGCTGGCGATATTGCTCCAGCACAGCCTCATCCTCGGAGTCCTCCAGTTCGTCGAGCTCGTCCAGCGACATGTCGTCTATGGGCTTGTCCCGCTGGCCCTCGTTCAGCGGAAGATCGGTGCGCCGCTGGATGGCATCGTCCATCAGCTTCTGGATCTGATCCTCCGTGATCTCCGCCTCCTTCGCCTTGGGCCCAATGATTCCCTTGGCGCGGAGCACATCATTCCACTCGGTGTCTTCATTTGGATCCTATAGAGAACAAAGTGAGTTTCCACGTGAGTTTTCATTCACCATTTTCATTACCAAATATGGAATTTATTTTTGGGTGCAACAAAAACACACCCACAATCGCTTTCAGTCGAAAACAATCCATTGTTCTTTGAAAGCAAATGTAACTTTAGTTGCCCATAACAACCCATCTTACCTGCATTTTAATTGATTTTATTCAGGTGAGGTAAATAACTTAATATATTAAATAAAAAATCCGAATGCTTGCAACGTTTTTGTAAACTAAAAATAAAACTGAATTATTCTAAAAAGTGACTCATGACCAGGGATGGCTCGAAATCATCGCGTGCGGTCAGCCGTTTAGAGATGACACCGTGTCCGATATTTGGAATAACATTTAAATAAATTTTGAAGTTCAGTTTTTAGGTTTTATTTAATGGAATTACATTTAAAAAAAATTAATTAATTAACGACAATATTTTTTTATTTTTCAACAAATTTTGTTAGGTTTCACAAAGTATACTGCAATGAAACAGATACATATCTTTTTCAACAAACATCCAACGGTCTTTGCTGGGATTAGATTTATACATTTATTTATTGAGATGTTAGTTAGCTTGCATTTCTATCAAAAACATTCATAGCTTCAAATTATTAATTAGGCATAGTTTTGTAAATAAATTAATCTTCTCCATAAAATTAGATTCCTTTGAATTAAAAAGTAATTGAAAAAACATTTTCAAAGTTGCTTTTTAATATTGTTTTGATTAAATTCTAAAACAGATTGTTCGAAAATTAGTAATAAATTAAGTTAAAACATAAAACGAAGAAAAGTGCAAGAAACATTTTTTTTAAATCCCTGCATTTGGTAATGGGTTGCTGTTCGGGTGCTTTTTATTTAAGGAGGTCCCTAGAATTATTATTTAAAATCTTTCTAAGCTCAGCTTAATGGCAAGAGAAATTCGCTATCTACGGAACCCTTTAAAGATTCTTTGCAAGCAGTTTTGAGATTCTATTTAAGACCTAGCACTCTCCTCAGATACATTGTAGTAGTTGTTAAAATTAATAATACAAATCAGGTCTCCAATTTCCTCCTGATAACCAGAAGTGGCCGCCTTATTGCCCAAATAGATGAGATACTGCATAAATTTCTCAAACTCGGCCTCCTCCTGCAGCAGTCGTTTAAAGCGGGGATGCACAAACTGATTTTCTTGGTCCATTATAAACGCCTGCGACAGAAGGACTCTAAAATATGGTTTAAAATAAAAGTTAGCTACATGAAAAGATTACAACATTTTAAAGAATTTAACCTACTTGCAAAAGCGAAGTATAATAACAAGAATATTATCGATGGTTTCTTTGACCTTGGCACTGCGTCGATTTAGCAGTGCCAAGAAGGCAACCCGCTTCAAGTAGGCGGCATGCTGCTTATACAATCCCTCGATGGAGTCGACGGTGCACAGCTCCTCCTTGAAACTCTTCCAGGTGGCCTGCAGGGCCTTGGCCACCAGATGCGTCTGGAACGAGGTCATAAAGTGCGACAACTTGTGGCGCATTATCTGCAAATGCCGGAAATGTGCACATGTCCGGAGTTCTGCTCCCAGAAGTTTACCCATTTGCTGCAAATACTCATAGGTTCCCTCCAAAACAAAGCTCACATGACGTAGCTTCAGTAGATATCCGAATATCTGCCCGTATTTGGCCACCGTTTCCGAGCTGATCACAAGGTTCAGCGGCCAATCCACCTTGCAGTGCAGCATCAGCATGGAAGTGGCTTCTACAGACAAGAAACTCAGCGTATCTGGTATGCTAATGCAGTTCAGAGTGAGATTTTGTGATACCGTCGTCTCGTCCGCTGAACAAGCCGACAAGGCGTTGGTCAACATGGTATCGAGGATTCCCTTTTGGCAAAGACTCCGCGGCTCGATGCCCGCTTTAATTCTTCCCAGGATGTCACTGGTGAGTAAAGCGCCAAACTGGCCGTCTAATAGAAAAAAGTAGTTCCTTAGCTTGCGGAAATGCTCGTAGATACGCAGCTCCTGGAAGATCCTGAGTACCTCATTCCGAAGCAGCGTGTAGTGTGCGTTTACAGGAGCCATCACGGAGAGCTGAAGGCAACGGCGAGCCATGAAAGGATTGCAGGGCTCCGCTATATTGAAAACTGCCTTTTGTAAATGCCAATCCTCTGGCAGCTGCTTTTCCACTCGAAAGTTTGTGGGCAGGCCGAAAGTTGGTCTGAAGAACTCCGATAGTTTACTAGTTGGTTTGGCAATTACAAGTTCGGGATTTGGTGACTCTGGATAAAAGCTTTGACTAAGATTGTTGTTATTAGCAGCATCGTTATTCTGTATTTCCGCCATATCAGTTAATTCCCTGGGTGACAGCCCACCGATTTCCACATCGGAGGTGGTCGACATGGGCGTTAACGCAGCCAAAGGTACTTCAACGTGCAGTTTGTTGAGCTCTAGAGGCAGGCAAGGCAACGTCTTCTTGTCCCCTTGGCCAATCTCAAACTCGCTGTGCATAACCCTTCGCCGATTTTGGGAGCGTTCCGTATTTGAATTAACCAGGCAGCGCAATCGATGCGTGTGCTGATCTTCGGTGGAGTTGAAGCTGATGAAGCCATCGTGGTGTTCATTGCGCAGGCGATTACGGTGCATTTCGCTGAGTTCCTGCGTTTCTGGGCGATTGAGATTGGCATTAATGTCGGGCGGCAGTCGAACTGAATTCAATTCCGTCTGGCACTCCTGGAATTGTTCAGAGGAGATGCCATGCTGGCGATTACGATTGAATTCGGTTTGAATTTCGGGCTGCTCATTGGAATTGATCACATCCGAGTGGCTTCGTTCGTACTGAACCCCTACTACATCCTCCAATTTATTTTCTGCTGGCTTCATCGACTGTCCTGCTGCCTCCTCGTCCTTGTCAGACGCCGATTCAGTTCGACCCTCCGGTCCTTCGAGACAGGAGGCAAAGCTTAGATCGCTATAGGTGCTCTGGTCGGGACTGTTAACTTCCTGGGCGTCTTTCTTAACCAATTCAGCTGCCAGCTGCGCCACTTCTTTTTGCAGCACCTGCTTTTCCCGCTCCAGTCGCATATCCTCCATCCTTTCGCTCTCCCGCAGAAAAACGATCTCATTGACAATCTCCTGGCGCCGCTTCTCCAGGCGATTTTGCTGGTCAACTTCCCGCTCCTCGTTGATCTGTTCGTATAGCAGTTTTTTTTGAGCATTCGCCTTCAGTTGGAGCTCGCGCTGCTCCTCCTCCCAGGCTGCCAGATGGGCCCGCGTTCGTTCCACCATGAGATTCGCAAAAACCCGTTTGGTGGCCATGCGCTCCTCGAAGATGCTTTGCATGCTGCACCAGCCGAAGCGTTGGTAGATGACGGCATACTTGTCGGCCAGGCTGCGACGCATCTCCTTGAGCTGCTGCTCCGTTAGACAGACTACTATAGGTGGGTGCTCCACTTCGAAGACGGGGTGCTGGGTAAGAAAAAAGCATGGATTACTATAAATTCATTCATTATGTATTCTATTCCCCCACCAACCTGCTCGTTATAGGCCTTCAACACCTGGTTGTACTTCCCACACTGTAGGATTTCCTGCTCGCAGCCGGATAAAAAGTCCGGAATTGCCTCGTTGACCACTTGATAGCCCCTGTCAAAGAACTCCTTGCTGCACTCATTTGCCAGCGAGGGCGAAGTGTTCGGGCACCGGCTGATGAAAATCTCGTTGACCGTCTTGTCCAGTTCACCGCGGTAGATCCACCGCTGCAGCTGAACGAAGTACGTTTGGCATATGCAGCGCAGCAGGTGGATGAGCAGCTGCAGGAAGTCACTGGTGCCGCAGGTGTCGATGGCCTGCCAAATGCAGCTCATCAGGAAGGGTCCCGATACGCCACTGTCCAGGTTTACTAAGCAAATATATTTAAATAATATATAAAATAGATTTTTTTAAATGAATGAATCATTAAATGATGATTTGATTAATTCAACTATATGTGAAATAAATTGAATGTTTTTCTAATTCATTTCGAATTGAATTAATGAATGAATAAGTTTTAATTTAATTTTTATTTGCCAGATTTTTTTTTGCCTTCTTTTCAGAACAAAAGTTTGGAAAATTTTTAACAAATCAATGTTAACTGCTTAGAAAATAAAATTCATGCAGATTTAATCACAAAATGATGGCCCTTTCTTCTTCAAAAGAAATTGTCGTTTGAATTATTTCGGAATTCATGTTAACTGCTTAGAAAATAAAATTAAGGCAGATTTAATCACAAAATTATTGCCCTTTCGGAATTCATGCCATTCATTCATTCAATTCTATTAAACTCAAAATTCAAATTCATTCAATTCTATTAAACTCAAAATTCTAATTAATTCATTCATATAAAACAAAAAAATGCAAGATAATTCATTGAATGCATTCATGCAGGGCTCTAAATCTTACATCTTGGCTCGTTCTCGAACATTTTGTCCAGCTGGTAGACCAGCTGAAGGACTGGACGGGAGCTATCCAGCAGTTGGGAGAGACTATTGGCGGGCAGGGCGAGCAGAAACTGTCGATTGGAGGCTAGGAAATCCACCAGGATCTCACGCGAGGCCTGCAAAAAAAAATCATAGCTTTACAAAACATTCTCCAGTGTATTAGTTACCAAATCTCACCCGATTGAGTGGCCTTTCCAGCTGCCTCGCTGCGTTCCTGTTCCTTTTGGTGCGGGAGCTCAAACGCCGAAAGGCAAAGCCGGCGCGCAGAAAGTGCTGTGCAAAATCCGCCAGCACCTCCGGTAGCACCGAGCGCAATGTGGTGTTGGGCCGGATTATCAGCTGCATCTCATCATTCGGCGCTGCGGGAAATGTCTCCGACTGCACACCCGCTGCCGCCTTCTTCAGATGATCAATTAGAGTCGCTTCCTCTAGATAGTTGAGCACTAGGTTTTTGTTCTGCAGAAGCTTCAGTTCGTTGGTCATTTGGTGGTCTGAAATGAAGTGCTTCTCGGGTGCAGCGTTGGCCACAAAAGGCTGTTCCTCCTGGGCAGCTGGGAGCGTCTTTTTGGGGACTGGCAGTCGGGGAGGTGGCTGCATCGGTTGCTCCCTGTCCTCCCGCATCCGAGCCATTGAATCCGCCAGGCCGCGGCTGGTTACCAAGGATGGGATGATGCTGGAGCGAGGCTTCTCCGGTGGAGGCTTCGCCATTGGGTTGGCCAGGAGCAAACCGGAGAGGGGCTGCAATTGAAGGGGCTTCAGGGCGCGGTGCATCTGACCCAGGGATTTCAGGGACTTTGGTTGCTCTGGCTCCTTGGGCAGAGGTTCCAGGGACTCGTGTAGCTGCAGTATGCCCGGTATTAGTCGTCTGATCCCAGCTTCCAAGTGGTTTTCCGCATCCTTCTCCATTATCTGGTCCTCCTGGTTATCCCTTTCTGCCAGCAGATTCTGGAAGCTGTGCAGCCTGTCCCGCTGTCCGGGATTCTGCCTCACCTCGCTGCTCACCTGCTGCAGCAGCTCCAGCTTGTCCTGCGTGGACATCGTCCCACTGCGGAGCAGGCACTCATAGATCTTCGAGCGCCTGGTGGCCACCGACGCAGCTGTGGGCACTCGGGGCGCCTGCTCCTCCGAGGCCAACAGAGTGGCCAGGTGGGTCACCACGTCGAAGACGCTGTGGTTGCACTCAGCCACGGTTGCCATCGAATCTTCTCTGGGACTCCGAAATTAAAAGATATTTCCCATAAACGAAACCAAACAAAAATTGATATTGGTGTGACCGCGGTTTCGGAAAATACCACATATTGGTACTTTAATGGAATTCCGTTACATTTAAAAATGTAAAGGGTATTCAAGCTATTTATCAATAAATAACTATTAGTCTTCCAGAAAATCACTAGAAGATTACGGATTCTAAATTGAATAACATATTTTTTCTTTATAGATATTAATATTTTATACTAAGAAATCCATTGAGATGTGTGAAGAAGTATTTTCATACTTACATTTTTTGGAGAAGATTTTACACTTTGTAATAAATAATAATATATCAGGTTCCATTTGCTTTATAAACTTACCCTTATCTTTTAAATTTTATTACCATAATTACCAATGAATAAGAAACTGTGTTTACACTAAATTAAAAAGTTTTAAATATATTGTTCTGTTGTTTTTTTTTTATACAAATACACAATATTCTATGTTTGCCCTTTGGCTTACAATATTAGCTTAGTTACCTTAGTTTTGTATTCGTAACACATTTAAGACATGCAGAATTTGAAATTGAAACTATTTTAGTTTTGCAGGTTTCTCTCATACTTTGCGATTTACAATTGGTTGTATGCCTTTTTATATATTTTACGGGTGTTTTTTCTTTTTTTATCTGAACTTGCGTGGGAACATCAAGAGAGTAGCAGGGTAAGTGTTTATAAACGGGAACGTTCTGTGACTACTGCAGAGGTGCGCTTGCCTGGCCAGGTGGTGGAGTGGCCTGCACAGATGGCGGCGGTGGCGGTGCCGGTGATGCCTCCTGCTCGAACTTCCTGTCGTGCACCACAACGTTCCCCATCAGCACGAATCATGAGGCGCTGTTCGTCTCGCCGTTGCTCTCGTGGAAGTTTGTGCCGTTGACAATGAACGAGGTGCCCAGGCCGTACAGATGTCCGGAGTACTTGGCATGGTCGATGTTGTCCTCGAAGAACATCTGAAAGGGGTTCAAGTTCGATTAGGAAATCATATAACATTAAATCACGTTCGGGATGGGACAGGACACACACAGGGTTCACAAAGCAGTCGCTGAAAAATCGAAGGGTATGAGTACGATGATCTAGCAATGTTAGTTGAATAAAGCGTTAAAAGCACACAGATATCTACAGCAGCAAATCTAACCAAGAGTCCTACTTATAGATAGGATTAGTTACATACCGTTTGTCAATGTGGTTAGATGGAGATAATATTATAGTAATTTTGCTTATTATTGTCGGTTAGTATGGGGTGAATTTTGTTCTGCAATTTTCTTGCTATTTCTCTAGAAGATAAAGCACTTGCTACGCTGATACACACAGTGCACTGTGTGGAAACAAACGTCAGCATAGCGCTTAAAATTACAAAAAGACATTAAATGTTAATCGATTGGTATACAAAATCATAAAATTTAAAAACAAAATTGCACTTTTACCAAGTGCAGTTAAAAGCAAATCATTGATGTAAAACCATGCCAAATGAGTTAAAATGATAATGCCCAGACACCAAAGAATGTAAATAAAAATTTAAAAAGAAAATTAATTCAAATTCATTTAATTTTCCAATCAAATCCAGCCAGTCACTTCAATTCATTTCGTCTCGCGATCTTTAAAACTAAATAAACATGTTTCACATGGAGTTAACAGTTTCAAACTAACTAAAAACACTTCAAGTTATGGATTTCATTCATAAATCGTGGGGCTATACTAATAAGATACATATATAAACTATGTAGGAAAATGAGCGAGTTGTGACAACCATGGAAAACCTTAAACCTAATGGATGATGGTGATGTTGGGCGGAGGCAAGTTACTTTAGTTAGTAGTGGCAAGGGCAGGGCAACAAATTGCTCAGCGAATGGGAGTAGATGCGAAGCAATCCGGCGAACCGGGAGTATTGGGAGGCGTGACCATGTAGGCGCTGGAGGTTAGTGGCTCGCAGGAGGAGCTGGTGTTGCCCGTGCCGTTGCCACTGCCGCTGATTATGGCCGAGTCATCGGGGGGAAAGCCACCGATGTAGACCGGACGGCTCAGGAGGTCAACCTTTCTGACCAACGGCTTCAGGTTCATGGTGTGCTCAAGCAGATAGGGAAAGAGTACGACGGGCGCCTCTAGGTCAAAGTGCAAATCATTTGTGTGCTGTACCTCACGCATTTTGAAGAAGGCCATGCCCGTCAGCAGGGCATCGGAGCCGGCCTGATGCTGGGGGCCCACGCGCCGCAGTTCCAGCTGATCGGCAACCTCCTGCAGGCCGCCCTTCAGGTTCTTGCACGACTTCATCAGATACTTGATGTCGAAGATGTTCGGGAAGTAGATGTGCAGCAGCTCGAAGAAGTCGCCCTCGTCGGCGGGCAGATTCTGATCGGTGAGCAGCTTCAGAAGGTAGCCGAAATCGTAGCCGGAATGAAAGCACAGCCACTTGATGTTGTCCACCAGCACGATGCCGGAGCTCATCAGCAGCTCGGCGAACTCAATGGGATCGATGCCGTCCTCCTCGTGTTTCTTGAACTGAATGCCCGAGTTTTGCAGCAGATCGATCGAGTCCTGCGCATACATGTCCTCGCTGGGGAAGCAAAATATTATATTTATTTATAGTTATATATATATAGTTAAAACTAAGCAATCTTACCTCAAATTGAACTTGAAGTTGAACTGCCAGGTGGAATAGCCCGGAGGCGTCTTTCCATCGTCATCCATGAAGGTCAGGCCCAATTGGATGATCCTTAGCAGATCGACATTGCAGCGCAGCAGCTGGTAATGGTAGTCCGCCGTGGAGCGAAACTCGCCGACGGGCCGAGCCACCACGCCCGGGAACTCGGTGTCCATGGCCACGTAGTGATACTTCTGCACAACCTTGCGAATCGTGCGGAACTCCTCCTCCAGGTTATGCTTCCACACGTCCCGAATGCCGCACTCCTCGTTGCTGGGTATGTGGACTTGGCCATGTGCCGCGCCACTGATGGCCGAGGGCATTGTCTGCGAAGGGTAATGGTTAGGATCAATCGACTTTGCAATCTGTATATTTTTTGGGGGGTTTGTCTTTTTTTGTGTGTGGGATTGTGTGGTTTGGAGCCCCAGTCTATTGTATTATTGAATTTTTAGCAATTATTGCAATAAAAGTGTTAATTTATTGAATTTTTAGATCAAAAAACTTAAATTATTTTTAAAATATATTTTAGAAATTGTTGAAAAACATCTAGAAAAGTCATGAAAACTGCCTTTTCTAAAAATATTTCTAATGGTTGTTAACAAATATATTTTTCAGATTTATTTACAATATAAACGGGTTTCTTTCTTACATAAATTATTATATTTTGCATTTATTGTTTCTGCACTGTAATAATTTGTGGATTTTATAGAGCAGAAAATGTAGATTTTTAACAAAATATTTTATAAGAAATATATTAAAAAACATCTAGAAAACTCTTGAAAACATAATATTGAAAATATAAACAGATTTCTTTCTCAAATAATTTACCAATAAACAAGATCCGATACTTCTTAAAATTCCCACCAATAATTTCCCTTTAATTACCATCCATAAATTAATAACTCTCCTATCAATTGTCTTGTGTTTTTGTGTATTTGTGGGGGTGAGGGTTAGCAACATAATAAAATAGCTGGTCCAATTGGTTAAACACGTTAGCGCAACTAAACAAGAGTTTGTAATTGAAGTTTGGCCAATTTCGCTGTTAGAAAAGTGCTACAATTTTGCTGATACGAAAGAACAACGAAAAATCAAAAAGTAACGAAACAAAGAAACGATTTTTGGAAATTTGCTTGGAGGTGGTTACTGGAGTGATGGGGATTACGATGGGCGCTACTTACATCGTCGCCGGACGTCGCCTGGTGCGCACTCTTCGCCGCCGGATCAGCCACCTCTTCGCACTGACCTACAACCAAGCCTCAAGCAACAAGTTCCTCTTGGGTAAAATGGTATTACGCTTTACGTTTTTATTCTGGAGATCAAGGCTCTTGATCAAAAGCAGGGGAATCGGAATATGTACAATTGAATCTGCCTATTATACCTAAATCGTATCGCACTAATCAACAGTTTCAGATATCATGGGATAAGACACTTATAGCTGATGCTGAAAATAGGAGTGTTTATTTTGTATGATCAATATATTTGGAAGACCAATTTGAAGGTAAGGTTGGAGAAACAATTGAGACCTTCTGAAAGTCGGATTTTTAGGGTTTCTGATTTAGGGCTAGTACTCAACCCAACAAAAAGTCGTCCAAAACAAAAACTTCATATGAAACAACATTTTTTGACGTTGTTTTTCATATGAAGTTTTTTGTTTTGGACGACTTTTTGTTGGGTTGAGTACTAAGCCTTATATTTATCCTATTAATTAACCTATTAATTTAGAATTTGGTATGTAGGAATCTTGTGATCTCAAGATTATATTTAGGAAATCTCGAGCTCTTAGCTCTTCTAGTTCCAGAGATCTCGATGATATTTCGGACCGACTGATCAGTGATATATAAATATTTTTAGCTTATTTCCGACCAAGAAATCTAAATTTTTAGGTTTTAATTTCACAGCAACCATCGGCTTTTCAACCCATTTCAAGTGAAACTGACAGTTTCCAGGTGTACATTTTTTACCCATTTCGAAATCGGGTTTACAAAGGAGGATTTCACCAAAAGATAACCGTGAAAATGACTCAAAATCCCTTTTGTTTTTGCAAAAAACTGAGACACCCTAAGAAAAGAACAGTTAAAACGCCCTAAGAAAACTGCACACACGCATACACATACGGCAACCAGACACACACACACGCATGCAGCGGCATTGAAGATGCATTTGCATTAGCAGTTTTTTTTGTTGCCATGGAAAATCAAGGCCCTGGAAATCAGCCTACCGGTGTGAAAAGCCGTACACACAATGGTTTTCCCTTGCAGCTTACCCATTTCATAGTATTCGCTGGCGAATGTGTGGATTTTAGCTATTTGCACAATCTAAATGTTTCGGTCGGCGTCTCCTCGTTCCACGATGGGCGAGGGGGAGGCGGCGTCGGATGAAATGGCTGCTTCTCGGCACTTCCGTCTCCTGCGCGGCGATCCTTTCGAGCAGGACTTTCAACTCGAAGAGTCCTCGACGTTAGCCAGTGACTTTTAATAGGTTTTAATCAGCAAATTTGGTTTGCGAGCCGCGCAATTGCCATAATAAAAAAATATGTTTCGTGATTCGGGCAGTGTGGGTAAGCGCTCGACTTTCGATTTTAGTGCTGGTAAAAGTCAGGTATCGTCAGGAATATCGATAGTTTTGCCACTATTTTGGAAACAAATTTTGGAATTTTGAGTTATTTATATATGAATAGGTGTATAAAAATATAAGATTTTTGAAATAAATAAATAGTTTTATTTATTGATTTTAATTGGAGGGTTTAAACAACTATCGGATCATTTCAGTGTTGTAAAGCATTCATAGTTCGCTTTAATAGCCGCCTAGATGGCGCCACCGAAGTTAAGTTAAGTTTGTGTGCGGACAGCTGTTCGGTGGAAAGCAAACAAATTCATTTATTGCCATTTCACCGGTAAAAGTGCTTGCATTGCGTTTCTTAAATTAACTATTTAGTGATATTAGTTGATAAATACATAATAAGTTTATTGTTATCAAGTAACAAGGCTTCCTTGGTTTGTTTTTTGTGTGTTTTTGTGTTTGTGCCACTAACCCATTTGTTGTTGCAAATTTTTGGGGAATTAGCTCGCGTTATAAATAAACAACCCAAACTAAACAATTGGCTACCCAGTTCTCGTCTTTCCCCGATTTGTTTACTTTAACCACTACATTGGCTGTACGAAAACTAGTTTTTTGAGTAATGCCAAAGTAAAAAGAAAGCAAAAACGATAAATAACGCCGTCTGTCAACAATCGGCAATTATGCTCATACATATATACTTACGTCTGTATATATGCAGTGATCTCTCCAATTATATTGGTTTCGTGGACCGGGAAAGAACGGATTTCTCCAGTTTCTTCAAAGGGTTAATAAACCTTTCACGTCTCTCAGTCTTTGCGTTTTTATGCTTTATTAATTCCGGTTACAAGTTGCTGATAAAGCAAAAGCACTTGAAGTAAACGTGACCACGCTGATAAGGGCTTTTCTTATCTATTTTTCAAATCAATAGTTAATGAAATTACAAGGTCGACTAATTGATTAGATCTACGGAATTAGAAAATATTTTTCAAATACCTTTTATGTCAGTATCTCTATTTATTTCATTTTTTAACTTTAACTTTCACTTAACTATTTACTAAAGTTATTAAAGTTTGTGATTATTTACCAAGTAAACTTTTAGCATGATCTCTTTATTTATTTAGCATCCCATTTATAACCCTTTTTATGTAATATCATTCCAATTAAACGCTCTGATAAATAATGTTATTTTTACAATACGTTCTGTTCTATTCCTAATATGTCAATAAATGCTGTTAAACTGTTTACATTGTACAAATCAAATTATCATTGCTTGGCGGAACTAATGGTATATAATCCCATTCAGCCGTCGAAACGATTAAAATTCCATTTAACTTAAATAACTTAAGTAAATACTCCCTATTATTTTCGCAGACGAAGCGTTATAGCAAATGACATAACAAGCAAAAAATTTCGCGATAATTATTGGCTCTAAATTGTAAATAAATCGTCTGCAAAACAACGCGAAATTCAATTTACGTGCACATATCTCGTGCTCGCATTTGTTTATATCGATCGAGCTATTTGATCACGTTTTAAGCGACCCGAACCAATACTTTCAACTCTGCCACTTGCCGAGCTAATTGAGCGGTCGTGTGATCACTGATCAGTTTATTCTTCGCACACGCGATCGTTCCTCAGTCTTTAACCAGCTCCCGAACCGATCTGAGCTCCTCCAGAGCTCCCGCTCTTCGGACTAAAAACAATTTTGACCCAAAAGAATTCAGTTCTCCGGCTCGAAAAGAACGTGCCCTTCGAACGGACAACAACATCAAAACATTTGTTTAAATACGTGAGTTTTTAACAAATTATAATGTATGTCGGTTAGATAGGAGAATTTTTAGACTAGACTGGAATTGTTATTGTGTGAAATTGCCTCAAATGCCTAGAATGCCAGCTAGTCAAATATATTTTTTATAAACAATAAGTAAAAATTGTATTGTAAAAAAGTGCAATATAATAATTGCGCTTTCTGACTCGAACATTTTAAATTTTAAAGCAATTTTTGTTCAAAAATTAATCTTTAAAATGATCGTAAATGGCAACCATTCACATTAATCTTTTTAAAATAATTTTTACACTTTGACGAATCAGAATTTATACAGATAAATTTGATAAATTTCAATTAACTTAAAGCCAGCCTTAACTGGTTTGTTTAATTTAAACAATCTAGTTTATTCGGTGAGCCATTTGTAACCATCAAGGTTTGTCAGCTATTCTTGTTTATTTACCATAAACTCGTATTTCTTCCATTGTTTTGAATTCTACGAGGGTTATTTATGACTTGCTTTTTGGTAATAACACAAGTTGACGTCTCTTTTTCTTTGGGCTTGTCTGTCACGCAGACGTCTCATAATCAAATGTATAATTATGCAAAGTAAGATGGACAAGTCGTTGAACTGCCGATCTTCAATTTTTTGCGTCGTAATTCGCTGGTAATCTTTATTTAAAATGTTTTTTTTGGTCTCTAAAATATTTCAATATTTTTACAAGTTACTTAATTATTTTGATTTATTTTAATGCACAGACGTAATTCGTTGCGACGTAATTCTTTGTTAACCTTTATAAAAAATATTTATTTTGGCTCTAAAATATTTTAATATTTTTACAAATTTTGTAATTATTTTGATTTATTTTAATTCACAGATAATTTCACAATGACCCCCAGGAAATGGGCCTATCGCCTGCTGCCGGGTCTCAAGTGGCTGCATGGGTATACCGGCCAGGATGCGGTGGCAGATCTGATAGCCGGAGTGACAGTTGGACTCACGGTGTTGCCCCAAGGATTGGCCTATGCAACGCTGGCGGGATTGGAACCACAGTATGGCCTGTACTCGGCTTTTGTGGGCGGCATCATATACGTCATGCTGGGCAGTTGCCGCCAGGTGACCATTGGACCCACGGCATTGCTCGCACTGATGACCAGACGGCACACGGGATTTGGCTTGGCATCGGGTCCCGCCTACGCGATACTCCTGTGCCTCATTTCCGGCATCGTTGAGCTGGGCATGGCAGTGCTGAAGCTGGGCGCCCTGGTGGATCTGATATCGCTGCCTGTTACCGTGGGATTCACCTCGGCCACCGCTGTTATTATTGGCACATCGCAGCTAAAGGGTTTGCTGGGTCTGCGAGGTGGATCTGGTTCTGATTTCATCAACACCATGCGCTCGGTCTTCGGAAATCTTCGGGATGTTCGACAAGGCGATTTTACCTTGGGTCTGGTTTCCATCGTGGTTCTGCTGCTGTTGAGGGTAATTGATAATACCTAATTTGCTTTAAAAATATTTCTATAATAAGTCTCAATCCCTATAGAAACTAAAAGACGTAAAGCTAAACGGGCGGATCAGGAACTTGCGGGCTCAGCAACTGATTAGCGGCAGCATCTGGGTCATAGCCACCGGACGGAATGCTCTGGTTGTCCTGGTGACCAGTGTGCTGGCCTACAACACCTGTGAGCAAATGGCTAGCTGTCCGTACATCCTAACCGGAAAGGTTAAAAGCGGCCTGCCCAACGTCACGCTGCCCAAGTTGGAGACTACCATTCTGGACAGGAATGGCACCGAGATCACACAGAACTTTGAACAGATGGTAAGTGAAAGAAAAAGTTAAGTACTTAATTATCTCGTTTTTTCTGACCTAGTATAAAAACCATTTTATTTATTCAGTCTCGGTCTTTCTGGATTATTGTTGCTTTGTTTTAGTCTTCAACTTTAAGAAACTTATTTCTTGTATTTCTTGTTTTTAATTGCTAAATAGAACTGATTTATTTTTGGCATTCAGGCCACAGACCATACAAATATATGTGTTTATACATACATATAATATAATACTATTTTAATCTAAGGGTAACGAGTTTAATGAAACCGGTGCGATGTGCCAGCCATCCAGTTTAAAATTTAACAAAATTATTATAATTTTGCACTTTACTTATTTTAAGATTAATTATACTCCTTATTCTTAGATTTAAATAGTATTATATTAAATATTTATAGACCAAAAAGCTATAAAAATGGTAGGCGTTATAAAAGTTTTATTGAAACATTTAATACATTATTAAATATTTAATTTATTTATTTAATATATTTAAACTAAGTTATTAAATCCATGTTTTCATGTAATTATGATGTAGACGTTATAAAAGTTTTATTGAAACAATCAATACATTACTAAATATTTTATTTAATATATTTAAATTCATTAATTAAATCCATTTTATGATTTAATGAAGTGTTGGACGTTATAAAAGGTTTATTGAAACATTCAATACATTATTTAATATTTATTTAATATATTTAATGCCTTTAATTAAATCAATTTTATCTTACTTTCAGCTCTCGGAATTGGGTCCATCTATGATAATATTGCCCATAATAGCTGTGCTAGGCAATGTGGCCATTTCAAAGGCGTTCGGAGGAGCTGGTCTGAGTCCCACGCGGGAACTTGTTGCTCTATCCATGAGCAATATTTGCGGTGCCTTCTGCAGCTCCATGCCGGTCACAGGATCCTTCTCGAGAAGCGCTGTTAACCACGCAAGTGGAGTGAGGACTCCACTGGGAGGCTGCTATACAAGTGTACTGGTTCTCCTGGCTTTGGGTCTATTGACGCCCTACTTCCAGTACATCCCGAAGGCTGCCCTCAGTGCGGTGATCATCTCGGCGGTGATATTCATGATTGAGTTCGAGGTCATCAAGCCGCTGTGGCGGTGCAGCCGGCGGGAGCTGCTCCCTGGAGCCATTACTTTTGTGATGAGCCTGGCGGTGGGCGTTGAAATTGGCCTTCTGCTGGGCGTGGGTGCCGATGTGGCCTTCCTGGTTTACCGAGCCGCTCGACCCGTTCTGAGTGTCTCCAAGCTGCAGACCAGCAATGGCATTAACTACATTTTGATTCGTCCAAAGCACAGTTCTCTGTACTTCCCGGCCATCGAATGGGTTCGCTCGGGCATCTCTAAGGCCCTGAATACTCACGGAACCGCGCCCGTGGTTCTGGATTGTGCCCATGTGCATGGTATGTTTAATAATAAATATTTAAATATTGTTTTAAAAAACTATTTCCCTTGCAGACTTTGATTTCACGGCAGCTCGAGGCATGGGATCGCTGCAAAAAGAGCTCTCCAAGGCGAACGTGCCTTTGTTCTTAATGAGTGCCGACAAGGACATTGGTGTTATTCTAAAGGAGTCGACCAATATTGATTTTCCCACGATAGACTGCCCCGATGATTTGGAATTCCTTCTAGAGCAAAGTGAGCCTGGAACTATTAATTCTTCCGTTTACACTAACCAGCCAATTCATCGCACAAAACGCTTTTGCTTTTTGTTTCCTTCGCTTTCATTCACAGCTTGTTCCTCTGTTTGAATACCCCCAAAAGCAACAATGCTACATCTTGCACCCTCCATCTCCAATAATTCCTGAAACTTTCCTGTAACTGAAACTTTGTTCTTTCTAGCTCCCGACTATGTCCTGCATTTGCAGATCTCAGCTCCGCTTGTCGAGTCGCGTCTAGTGCATTGCGATGCAGGAGAGCCAACTGAACTGAGTAAACTTAATGGAAAAAGGACTTAAGTAGCAGAAAGCTCGTATTGGAGCCTATAAGGATATTGTTAATTTTAAATGTACTTAAGTATGCGATGCGGCACAAAAAAATCTTATTTATGGCAAGTTCAACGGCGCTGCATGAAAATAATTCATGTTATAATTCTTATTACATTCGATGCTCTCTAAACTTTATTTCATTTCCAACTATTCCATTCCTACGTTGAACTTTTCCCTCGTATATATGTTAAGTTTATATTGTATATACATCTACATAAGATATGTTTTTAATTTTGTTTTTAATTACTTTTAAATTGAATAGATGTCACTATAATCGTTGAAATTCGATGCGTCTGTTTGCAGTTTTTGTAAATTTATATAGCTACCTTGTCCAATGTTCAACATTGTGTTATTAAAAGCCAGCTTAAGCTTGAACTCATTTTAAAGATATTTGTCAAAATAACCAAGCATATCCCAGAAGGCAAAAAATTATCAGCTTTCTTTAAAAGTTTTTTATTCAATCTTATAAAAAATCGCATTTATTTAATATTTGTTATGAATAAGAACTGATGCTTATGGTTAATCGGAGTATATAACTAATTTTTACATGCGTAGACACAATTAAAAAGACAATTTTAAAAGAAATTACAAAAATAGTTTCTCAGTTGGTTTAAATTAAAAACATTCGAAGGCAATAAATAGCAAAAAGTAGGGTCTAGGATAGGCACTTAAACTATCATAGGGATTAATTCGAAAAGGATACGACGAGTACAACATTACACAACAATCGACATTTACAAATCGGTGATCTCGTGATGAGATTCGTAAACGGCGGAAGCTCCGCCGCCATCGCTGCTGATGGTGATCCGGGTGAGCAGCTCGGTTTGGATGCGCTTCAGCACCTCGACCACCTCGCAGAGCACTCCGCTCTGGGCGGCCTGCTGCATGGCCTCATTGGCGTCCACCAGCGCCTCGTTGAGGGCTCCCAGCTCCATGCGCGCCTTTGCCCTGGCGTAGTAACCCTCGTAGCTGTGCGGCTTCTGGGCAATCGCCTGCGTGGCCAAATCTATGGAGGCGTCAAGTTCCTGAAAGGCAGATAAGTAGTCAATTAGGTATCAGTTTATTTATCAGGGTTCTGAAATTGACACACATGTTAAAAACATGAAAAATTGTATTTTACAGTGTGAGCAAAATTCTTGACATGTGTGTCAAATACAAAAGTGTGAAAATGTGAAAAATAATTGTTAGCACACACAGCTCACTTGTGTATTTTATACACTGTGTTTTTAACACAAATAAAAAATTACATTTTATTGACATTAACGAGCCGAAGGGAAAATATATGTTAGTTTTAATTATGAATTCTTACACTCTGCAAAACCGTGCATTTTAAAAATTTTGTAATGTCAAAAATGTCATTGTGTTAAAAACGCGCTGTGTAAAAAAACATGTCGTGTTAATAACACGTCTTGTAAATAACACAAATGACATGTGTGTGATATTTATATTTCTAACATATGTAGGATACAATTTTTTACACACAAGTCAATAACTTTTTTTGAACTCAACACTTTGACATTTAACATGTTGATAACACAAGTTTTTTACAGTGTGTGTTATTTTCCGAACCCTGTTATTTATTTAATATCTTAATACTCACATTTAGTTTTCGCTTGCAGCGCGACAGATTCAGCAGCAGATTGGTCCTTAGCTGGCCAAAGACGGCATTCCTCTCGAGCAACTGCTCCAGTCCGGAGATCTTGCGCAGGGCGTACTGGTACCGATGGGCGGCCTCCTGGAAGCGGTTCTTCCGGTACAGCACATTGCCGTCCTCCAGCAGCTTGTTGAGCAGCACCACCAGTATCTCCGGCTTGCCCATGGCCATGCTCCACGTGGTCGGTCCCAGCTTGGCGCCCTTGCGCAGGAACACCTGCACGGCCTGGATGTTGCGGCAGGCGATGGCCCGATCCAGCGGACGCATTCCATGCACATCGATGTGCTCCAGGTTGCCGCCCTGGTCGAGGATATAGAGCACTAGGCTGGCGGCTCCCTGATAGGCGGCCAAATCCAGGGCAGTGCGTCCATTGTGATCCTCGTGGTGGCGATTGCAGCCATGTTCGATGAGCGTCTTGGCTGCCGAGAGATGTCCACGCAAGCAGGCCCAGCTGAGCGCCGTGAATCCTTCGTGATCCTGGGCCTCCCTCTCCGCTCCCCTTGCCAGCAGCAGTTCCACCAGCTCGAGATGACCCTCCTCCGCCGCAATCATCAGCGGCGTCTTGCGCGTCTCGCCCAGCGGCTCGTCCAGCAGGGCACCCCGCTGCAGCAGGTGCTCCACGACGCTCCAGTGACCCTCCTTGACGGCCAGCCAGAGCGGCGAGTATCCCTGGCGATTCCTCGCATCGATCTGGGCGCCGCGGGACAGCAGGATGCCCACCACATCCACGCATCCGTGACGTGCGGCGGCCGTGAGCGCCAACTCTCCACTGCTCGGCTCCATGCCATTCACATCCAGATCGAACTCCGACTCATTGAGGTCCAGCAGATCCTCGAGGATTTTGCAATGCGCCTGCGCAGCAGCTCCAATGAGAGCCTGTTGCAGAGCCACCGATCTGGAGACATCCTGGGTGTGCTTCCTTGGCGACCAGTCGCAGGCCAGCAGGTATTTGACCACGCTAAGATGACCCATGCGGGCGGCATGAACCAGGGCGCACCTCTGCGTGATGTCCAGTTGTCCGAGGCTGCTGCCGGCGGCCACCAGCGGACGCACTACGTCGCAGTGGCCACGCATGGCGGCCAGAATCAGGGGAGTACATCCCTGACTGTTGGTCAGACCCACATCGGCGCCGAATTCCAGCAGCAGGCTGACCATGGGCAGGATGCCCTCATGAGCAGCTATGCAAAGGATCGGAGCACCGCCCATGTAATCCGTGCGGTGATTCGGCGAGGCTCCTGCGAGCAGAACCAATCGGGAGACCTTCAAATTCGGACTATAGACATTGCGCAGGGCGCCCAGCGAGGAGGAGATGTTGTCCGCCGCTCCGGCCAACCAATAGGATTGGAGATCCCGTGGAGAAAGGAGCGTGAGACTCGATCCGCCATACAAATGCGCCTTGAGCATGTGGTGACCCAGCTCCAAAGTGAGCTGCGGCGATAGAGGAGCCTGCAGGCGGGACAACCGGAAGGCAATGGCCGCATGACCCAGCCGCGCGTCGCAGAGGAACTTGTTGGACTCGCCCTCATCCCGCCGCATCAGCCATTCTCTCAAGGAGCTGTGAAAGAACATGTATGTGTTGTCCAACCTTTTAATCAGAAAGCCATCGAGCAGCTTAAAGCGCTGCATAAAGTCCGGCCAGCTAAGCGACTCCCTTCCATGACCCAGTGCCTCCATGCTGTAGTAGATCTCGTCCAGCGTCAGCGGATAGAGAGCCGCCAGGCAGACATTGAGGATGGGAGCAGCCTGCTCGAAGCTGCGGGCGGTGGGAAAGCGCAGATTGAAGTGCAGCAGAAAGATCTGGGCGAGCGAAACGGGTAGCACCTTGTAGCTGGAGGATTTGATGACCAACTGGCCGCGGGCAATGAGATCCAGGATGAGCTTGGCGTACAGCATGGAGCCCCGGCTGAGGGATTGCAAATGGGAGACGAACTTGGTCTGCGGTTGGCTTCCCTGCCCTCCAACTCCTAATCCTCCTCCTCCTCCGATGTTCATACGAATTTCCTGACTATCAGCCAGCCGGGCGCCTATATAATCCAGCATATCCTGCTGCAAAGTCTGACTGCTCGCCCAGCTATCCAAAGTGAGTTGCGTGTAGCTGGGAGCCTTGACCAGCTCCAACATCTGGGTCCTCACAGTGGCCACTAGCTTCAGCCAGGCCGGAAAATGCGGCGTCAGTTGAGCCAGAAAACTAGCGATAGTATGCCCATGATCGGGACGATGATACTCCGCCTCGCAGAGGGCATCCACCAGGATAACAGCCACCTTGGCGGGAATTTTTCCAGCCCTGTGAAGCTGCGCCAGTGGCTCCAGAATGGCCAGCTTCATCACTCGCTCCGCATCCGCGATGCATTCGCGCACACTGAGAATGTCCTGGAGATGCGGCTCCGATAGCAGGTAATCCCTGTAGGCGGTCAGCTGCGGCGCCTGGCAGAGTTGGGCGGCCAAAGAGTGCACAAAGTCCGGCACCTGACAGGTGAGATTCGCGTCCGCCTGGCAGAAGTGATAGCCCACCATGTGGGAGGCCAGGCCGCGCATGCGCTCACAGTGGGCGCCCAGCTGCAGCTGACTGTAGATGCCATCGGGATCGGCGTCCTGCATCTGCCGGCGGCCGAAGCAGGAGTACTCCACCAGCTGCAGGCAGAAGGCGGTCTTCCCGGTGCCCGGCTGTCCGTTGATCAGCACCACCCGCGTTTCGGTGCCGAGGAGGATGTTGGACAACTGCTGCACCAGCCACTGGCGACCGACGTACGGAGGATCGGGTTCCTGCAGGGGCACCTCGAAGAACAGTGGCTTCAGGGCCAACTGAACCGCCGCCAAAGTGGAGGCAGTTACTCTGGATGACACTGCTCCCGTTCCCGCTGCTGCCGAAGAGCTGGAAGCGGATGCTTGACCCCTCGTCGATCTCCTGGCATTTCCCTTGCGACTCTTGCTCGGCAGCGCCTCGTACACATGCAGCATGGAGCAGCCCGCCTTGAATTTGCCACACAGACTCAGTGCATCCTCCTTGACCCCGTGACTGGTGGCCACCGACAGCTGGCTGCCGCTGAGCATCCCCGCCCCGCTGGCCAGCGTCTGCTCCGGACTCACGTTCTGCGAGGAGCCGCTCGTGGTGTTGCTGTTCGCTCCCACGCCGCTGCTGCTCGTCGTGCTCGTGGTGGAGTGGGCGGAGATGGGTTCGCAGCCACTGCCGCTGCTGCTGCTGTTCCCATTGCTCCCAGGATCGTTGAGCAGCAGGCCGAGGCGGGCGTGGAGCTGGTCCTTCTGCAGCTTCTCGTTCAGCAGCGAGGAGTGATGGTCAAGGGCGTCGCTTCCTGTGGTTAGAAATATGGGAATTATTAGATTTATAGGTCTTTTTAAGAAAGGCATGCAAATAACAATCAAAAAATTATAGAATAATACTTATGATATTGAAAATCATACACTTAAAAAAATGTTTCCCGTATAATAGATATGGCCATGTAAATTTGAGGTCATGCAAAACCCATTTCGTTTTTACATGAAATACTCTTTTCGACCAGGTTGAATTTACCTGGCCACATATTAAATTAAAATTGATCTTAAATAATGTAAAATAGATCTACGTTTCATATCGATTTTTGTGAGGTGTTGTATAATAGTTATGATATTAACATGGAATTATTGTCATTAAAATTAACCTCATAGATTTAGTTTTTAGCTTTTATAGATCCATAATAAATTTAAATTAACTTTGTTATGTACACCCAAAAAAAAAAATCGATGTGAAGCGCAGATCGATTTTACATTATGTAAAGCCAATTTTAACTTAGCCCCGTAAATTCGAAATTCTCCAAATGAGTATTTCATGTTAAAACGATATGAATATGGCATAATCAGAATTTTACATGCGCATATCGATTTTTCGGCGACATGTTTTTTGTGTTATGAAAAAAAATGTAGAAACATAAAAATATTAAAATATTATTTTGTTCATACTCTATAGTTCAGTTATTTCCCTGTAGCCCCCTTATAGGGCCGTATAATATTGATAAAATCTTAAAAAAATCATGCAATATTTCTGAAAGGATTAGAAATGGACGACAATGAGGATGCAACATGCAAACGAGTGAAACGAAGGAGGATGCTCAAGAAAAAGGACCGAAGCCATGCCTGCTAGTTGATTCAGTCCCGCCTCGCTGGAATTGGAGGAGTTTACGCTCCACAGGGACTTGATCTTCCCGAAGACCAACGACGACAGATGACCCGCGTAGACGGAGGTTCCGGCCAAACTGAGCCGATTCAGGCGATTCTCACTACCTCCTCCATGGCGAGCGGAGGTCTTCAGGTTGTGGTTGCTAACGTTCTTCCGCCGCCTTCTTGTGACCGCCGAATCCGAGCAGGTCGATGTGTTGAGGGCATTGGACTCCTTGCCCACCGTCTGGCTATCGTGGTGGTGATGATGAGGATGATCTAGTGATGGATGCTGGGTGAATTTTCTTTTCGAGGAGGTTTTTATTCTTAGCTATTCCTAAATATATCCCTATACCATTTATTCTATTAAATAACTAATATATAAATCTTTAAAAATGATTTCTTTCAGTATGCCAACTCTTGAACCTGACCCCCACCCGAACCCCTTTCTGTACTCACCTCCGGACAGGATTGATGCCGTGTCAATGGGACAACCCCCATTGGAGGCAGTGCGTCGATGGCCGCCGCCCACTCCTCCAGCTCCTCCGCCGCCCGATGGCCCGCCACTTCCTCCAGTGAGGGCGCTGCGCAGATTCTTGTGGTTGAAGAACCGCCTCCGCGTCGGCGGTGTGGCAAAGGCCGGTGGTGCGGCACTCAGCTCGCTGTAGGCCACCGCATGGATGTTATGGCTTAGACTGCTGCTGCGACTATGGCCACTTATACCATTGCCGTTGGCCATCAACTGCTTGGCGGCGGCGGAGGCAACTCCTCCGCTGAGGTGCTGGTGGTGGTGGTGCACATCCACGGTGACCGTTTGGGTGGTGCCGGTGGAAAAGCCATTGCCATTGGTAGAGGCCACCGCCCGGGGCAGCTTGCCATTGCTCGCATAGCGGTGGTGGTAATCCGGCGACTGCGACTCCTGGCGGTGCTGCTGCAAGAAAATGTGCCAATAGAGTTAAAAACTTATCAATGATGAAAGTTATAATACAGCGGAAAAAATATTATACTAAGTGGAAAACCTCAGCAATTTCTAACCTAAATTTTTCTGCCTATCTACCTATTTATAAAAATAATACTGAAAAATAAAGCTTTGATCAGTGGCGGATCCAGGATTGGAATCGAAAGAAAAGTCAGTATTTTGTCAAAAACATCTCGTTGAGTTCCTAATAAAATTCCCGATCTATTGGCATTAATTTTAATAGTATTAAAATTATTAATTGTATCAATTTAATATTACTGCTTTTCTCTCGGTGTAACCATTGAACACCTTTCGTCAAAGTTGAGCAGGCCCCAAAGCCAAGGCGTTACTTTTTGATTGGTCACATGTGTGGGCATCATCCTAAGATGAAAGCGCTCAAATGGGCCATAGACTCACAAAGCCAACGAGGTGGTGCTTCTAGGCATCAAAACCCACCTTGTTGCAGCCCTAAACAAAAATATATTTTCAGGCTTATCAAGTGAACAGCTTTACCACCCGGTGCAGACATAATTATCATGTCAAGATCAGGTCGAATGGCTGAGCACACTACGAAAAATTTCCATTAAACAAAGATGGCACTTGTTGAAATTATGCTTTTAACCTTGATCTCTTAAAAATCGAAGTTTACTTTCGTCTAGGCCTAGTCACACATGTATGATGTGTTTTCCAAGCCCACAAGTGTGGAAAGCCAAATATGAGGGCAAACAATTGGGGTGCTAAAATATGCTGTGAAAATTTTGAAATGGAAGACCAACAACGGTTTCACGAGCTAATAAGCCCAGCAAATATTTAACTAATCTCTATTATTTTCTTTAAAAAATAAATATGTTCAATGCCATTTCATTTTCCATGCCCTTGTTATTTTTTATATATTTATTTTCTCTGAGTGTTAGAAGGTCTATTGCCTGTCCAGCTTGAAGACTGCTGTCCTTCGTTTCGACGGGACACAATCCGAAACCAATTTCATTCACATGCGCCACAAGAGCCCCTCCATCGAGGTCTTAGTCATCGTCTAGTCTTTGGCTCCTTCGAAGGGGTTTCGTCTTAATGAACTGCAAATCATTTTCTGTCTGCGTTGGTTTTCGCCTTCTCTTGTTTTCCTCGGACTCTTTTTTTTCCTGTTCTTTTTTTTTTGGGTAGGCCGAGAGACTGGACATGGCACAGAAAAGCTCAGAAACTTGATTTCCAGGCCAGAATCAGTAACAGACAGTGCTGCCATTTTGTCCTCTTTCCGGACAGATCTGTCCTTTTTTTAACGGCTTTATCCGGAAAAAATTTCAAACATCCCCTATCCGGAAATCTATCCTTTTTTCAAAAAAAAGGTTTTGAGTGTTATTTTTGCTAGTCGAAAGTGTATAAACCTGTTTTTATTTGCTAAAATGCCTTTTTAACCATCATTCTTACAGTTCGGCACTTAAAAAATAATTCTTTTTACAAATTATCAAAGAGACGTAAAGCAGTCGATGGATTTTCTTTATAGTACGATTTTTTCTGTAGCAAAAAAAAGAGGAAAGCACTTTTAAAATTTCTTAATTTTAACTCTCTGCTTTTTTGTCAGAAAAAAAATTCAGATTTGAACGACTCTTTTTCGGGTTTGACGAAGATATTTAATTTTTTTGTATTACGAATATAGTTACTTGAAATGCATTAATTATTATAATAATTTTAGATTATTACGTATACGCACAAAATTTTACCATGGTAAAATGATCAAACAAAGAAGGTTGTGAGTCGGGCGCAGTAGATCATTACATAATTAAATTTTATTTAAAATCCATTTATATTAAGTAAATATATAACCCATTGGTAAAAACAGAAAAATGTAGGCACATTTACTTTTGTCCTTTTTTTTGTCCTTTTCTTAAATTTTTTGTCCTTTTTTTCCCTGTTTTTTGTGGCTTATCTGTCCTGTTTTTCAAGCTGAGTGATGGCAGCACTGGTAACAGAAACAGAACCCGAGAACCAGTTTCTGGGCTCTGTGTGGGATAATAAGATGAAATTGGTTGGCTCCGCCAGACGGAGTCGAGAGACCATTAATTGACAGGCAGGAGGTGTGTGTGGAGGCAGGCAGGTGGTTGGAGCCCAAGGAGCAGTTTTGGACTTTGGAGTCAGCCGAAAGAGAAGAATCGAAGGGACTGTTATGAAATTAATTGAAAGCGAAGATCTCTAAGGATCGAACTCTTTTTTTAGATCATCGATTAGGGTCTAACTGGGTTGTTGAAATTGTGGTTAGCTTAGTGAAAAAGAACCGAACTTAAAGCTATTCAATTTGGCCCTTTCGATGATGGTGATTTGGCTAGGGAACCAATCTGACAAGTTGCAACGCCTGCGGAAGTCTGAGTGCTCTGGTTCTCTTCCTCCAGCGGATGTCTGGTTCTATGTCTTCCACTCACGACCACGAGTCGCCCACTTCCGCTGGAGGATGTTCGGCTGAGCCAGTCTGCCCACAGACTGTCAACCGTCTAACTACTTTTATAAGGTCTTTTCCTATTTTTTCCATGCACAGAAAAGTATTTTAAATCAGGTATGTAATATTAAAAGATTATCTAAAAGTAATAACTTTAATTTTAAAAATTTTAAAAGTTCAGAACAATTAAATTAAATTTTTATAAAGGGAAGTGCTGTGTACAAAATTTGGGTCCTTGAGTTTGGAATTAGTTGATTACTTTATTTTGGAAGTAAATATTTTGAACTTTTTATTGTAAATTTTAATATTTTTTGTCAACTAAGATAATAAATAAATAACGAAATAATTGAAAACAGATCAGTAAAGAAAATGTATTAAAGATTTAAATTTTTTTTTTTTTGCTAATCTCTTGTTTAAATGTAGCCGTCTGTTTCTTTGATGAACTCTCTATGTTGTCAGTCTGTGAATATCTATGATAGGCAGACTTCAATCTGGGATCTGTTAGCTACCGGGATCAGCTGGGGAATTCCGTGGCGGTGATCTCCTATCCATCGATCTGCGGATCTATTGATCCGTGGGCCGAGTTCCGCCTCTATCTCATCGTAATTAAGCTGCGGTTCGCTTTGGTCCGTTTCGATGCGCTTCACTCAAACCCAACCCAACAAAATCCAATCCAATCCAATCGAATGCCAGACCAAGACCCCAGCCAACCCCTCCTTTCTCTCTTTCTTTCACTCGCATGGTGGAAAGGCTTTCTTTAAACTAGTTCGTCGTGGGGTCTGGGATCTCTTATCGCTTCCCGCGGCGGCGTTTTAATTGGCCCCATCACTTTGATTAAGTTGTAGTCGGCACACGAGCCGTGCTTCGGAAAATAATTAACAAATTATGCCTGCCATACATGGGGGCCATGGAAAATTTGAAAATTGAAAAAAAATCACATCTGGAAAAGGTGATTTTCACTTTTGCCGCTCGGCAATTTGTCCACGCGGCGGAGGCCGCCGAGAAAGAGGAGTTGCCGTGGCTACCGTGAAAAAAGCGCCATAAAATTTGCACCGCTGGATGGAGATGATCAAAAGTTAGTGAGTTGGAAACAGGATGCCATTAAATAGTGTAATTTGTCAAGGCACTCGGGTCATTGTCCACTACACGTAATGCGATCATGATGTCTTTTGACATGGTCTCATTTCTGTGTAATGTTAATGGATACTTTTTGACGTCATTACAAGTTTTACAAATATTTTTATTCAGGCTTTTGGCTGCAAATCTCCCATCCGTACACCAAACTCCGTTTTGAATCCAATTTAAATAGTTGGCAAATTATAATCGTGAGAACACACCAACATTTTTTTTTTTTGGAGGAACAAATCATGTTTGAAACTTATGAACTGTCAACCGATTGGCTGAACTTTGGCCGCTCCCAGAGGGGCAAACAAATGAGCAGAACGAGCCAATTGACCGACTGACTGTGTACTTACTATCCCCAAAAAACTCCGAGACTATATCGAGCAGTAAAGCCAAGGACCGAACCGGATCGGAACCCCAAGGGGAGTCACACCGCCTCTCGCGCAGGTGTAATAATGCTAGCTGCCACAGAGCCGGGCCAGAAAAAGCCAGTAATTGTAATATGACAAACCCGCATTAATTTGCTCGCAAAAACTAAAGCGAAACCGAAACTGGGAAAATCGGCAAGGCAGACAGCGAGACTCACACGGAAAAAAAATATTTCAATTTATAACAAAACTTTAGAGGTTGACAAAAATATAAAAAAGTATTTGGTTTCCATTTTCCCATTACCAGCAGCTATTGAACACATATATATTTTATGTTTACCCAATTTAATTTTTTAGAGTACCATATTTTTTTTTTCAGTGCCTGCAATGCAATTACAGCGGCGGTATTTAATGACCGAGTCCACCGAGCTGGCAACAAGATTAATGGTTCATTCAAGAATTCGATTTTCGGCCACAACAACAACACAGCAGAAGGCTCATATCAAAATGTTTTTTTTTTGTTTATGGCCAAGTATTTTGATTTTTTAAATTATGAAAAAAAATAAAATATACATCTCATGTTTAGCTGCGGGGCGTTTTGCGAGAACAACAACAGCGTCGCAGAATTTGGCGGTCCCAGACATTGTGACACCAGCAAAATGCAGCAGCATAAAACCAGCGACTCCAATCCCAATCTCAGTGCCTGGCCAAGACTCGTTTGGGCCACTTCCATGAGGGTGTGGGCCCGGCCAACTGGCTGGTTAAATCAAATGATATTTCAACAACGGTTGTGTTGAAAAATAATTGTTTAAATGTCATAAAATAAACAACGCGGACCCAGCGGAGGGTCAACAAGTGTGGAGACCTGCTGGAAATTGCATTGAAAATTGAATAGAGCCAAAAAAGAGTTAGATTCCATTATAGATTAATTAAATTGAGGAAATTATTGAGATCATATTGGTGCCGAACTATTTCAAGCACTCATAATTATATAAATTAATCTAAGCATTACTTTGAAAACGTGAAGCACTTTAGTTTAATATATATTCAATAAA